TCAAACTGATTCATTGGTGCTTTTGTGGCACAGAATAAACAGGAAAGGGGAAGAAGGCCCAGAGGTCAGGCTTCAGTGCTTTATAAGCAGGCAATGGCAGAAGACTTTTCATATGTGTGTGTGTGTGTGTGTTGTATATATATATATATATATATATATAAGAGAGAGAGAGAGAGAGAGAGAGAGAAGGTGGGGTGGGTGAAATGGAAGAGAAAATAGACTTTAATTATTTCCATGCCCCATATAGCTTCTTTCTAGTGTTTGCAAAAAAAAAAAAAAAAAAGCAAGAACTCCCTTTTTTGCAATAACTTTTTGGTTACTAGGCTGTTTCTTTGATCACCACACTCCTCTTGGGCTAGCTCATGCCTATGGCATCTTTTTACATTCCGAGAGCACGGGGTTGGGTTTTGAAAGATCAAGCAGCTGCCAACAGAGATTGGGAGGGAGTGGGGAGCCTGACAGCATCACACTAGTTCACTGGTTATTTAGGACCTTAATTCTTGTGACAAAGATGATGATGGGTTAGAAAGGAAAGGACTAGGGGTGTAAAGATGGCAGGAAGACTAGTTAAGGGGGTGGTGGAGCAGATTTCAGAAACTTTCTGAAGTATACTAACAACTGATTATTGGCTGGATTGGGGTATGAAAAGCAAGGGAATAGTCAAGACTGAGGCTGGGATATTTGGGTGCACAGACTCAGGGAACAGAGAACTGGTTGCTGCTGGATTGAGTTGGGGGACAGCGGCAGGGGTAGGTGGAATTGTAAGAGAAGGAAAGTAGACCAGAGCAAAGAAGTTCTGTGAAGAATTAACTATGTTAAGGTGGAATATGGCATGAAATCATTCTGTCATGGCCAACAGGCATCTGGAAATGCAAGTTGAAGGGGAAAGGTCAGGGCTTGAGCAAAGATTTGGGATCCCAGTGTACAGGAATGGAAGATGGAATTGTGTGGGATGTGACTAATCTATGTGAACAGCTATTATTTTGAAAGGTCTATTTTGATGTCATAAAATAGGCAAAACATACAAAATAAGCAAATTGTGAATTTGCTGGAAAGAAATAAATGTAGATGGTTAGTGTTAGACCCTCTCTGCTCTACCACAGTTGCATTCATTGGGCACAAAAAAACCTGACTCAAAGTGGCACAAGTAATAATTAGAATGTATTCTAAATGTCCAGCAGTAGGGTGGACTTCAGGGCAGGCTAGATCCAGCAATTCACTAGAGACCCAGCATCATTGTAAGGCTGGCTCCCCATGTTGTCACTGGAAGACTGAAAACAGCAACTGGAGCTACATGCTTTGTCATTCAGAGAGAATGAACCCCTCTTCACCAACCAGCAGACAAAAGCCCTGAGCCTCACTGTGATTAGACCCACCCCCATCACAAGCCTAGCTGCAAATCAATTGCTGGTAAGGGTGATAGAATTATGCTGACTAGTCTAACCTGTGAAATGCACCCCACCCCCAAGAGCTAGAGAGGGTGTCAGTCATCCTTTCCCTAAATCCCATGGCAGGCTCTCCATGGGGAGGGTTGGGGTGATGCTGCCCAAACGATCAACAATATCCAACATAACAATCAATCACAACTACTTAAAGGGGTAGTTTGAAGTATGAAGCCCATTTTACAAGATGGGAGATGGCCCACCTCCGCAGAATGAGTCTAAATTGTATCAATTTATAGTGTTTTTGTTTGTCTGTCTCCCATAACCACTTCAGTTGCTGTTCCAGAAAGAAATCCAGAGACTAACTCATGTGACTTCGATTTGAAGAAAGAAGCTCTAATAAGAACTACAAAACCAGTATTCATATGTGTAAGAAACATACATGCATTAATATGTAACTATTATTATATGTTAAACACATTAATAGTATACTGCATTATAATACAAGTATTTGTAGTAATTATATATTAATTATTAATATGAAATAAATATGTATTTATCCTATGGAAATTAGGAAAGATTTGGTTATAAGCATGCTCATCATAGAGTTGTTTATAATCGTAAAACAATGCAAACACCTTAATGTCCAACCACAACAGAATAATTTTCTTAAAATATATCCATCCTGAAGAATACTATTGTAGACATAAATTGATGTTCACAATATATTTATGAAAAAGTGTAGATCTGTTTTACAATATATTTATGAAAAAGTATGGGTCACAACACAGAATGTATTTACAATTCCATTTTTTTGGAGAAATTTTAGCATGTCTGCCTGATATCTATTTATGCAAGAACCAGTCTTTGAAAGAATAGACAGGGAAATTGTAAGAGCAGTTATCTCTAGGTGGTAGAATTAGAAATGCTTTGAATTTCCCTTGATTTACCTGGCTCATGTATTAACTGTAAAGTTAATAGAGCACAGCCTTTGTTTCCTTTTGTCTTCTTTAAGCATGTAGATGTGTTTGGGTTGACTTCCTCTAGTGTTCCCCAACTCCTTGCCGCTACCACATTTGCAGATGAAGAAACCAGCCCACCCATTCAGGTTTTTTTTTTGAGACAGAATCTCACTTTGTTGCCCAGGCTAGAGTGAGTGCCATGGCGTCAGCCTAGTTCACAACAACCTCAAACTCCTGGACTCACGCCTCCTGCCTCAGCCTCCCAAGTAGCTGGGACTACAGGCATGCACCACACCATGCCCGGCTAATTTTTTCTATATATATAAGTTGACCAATTAATTTCTTTCTATTTATAGTAGAGACGGGGGTCTCACTCTTGCTCAGGCTGGTTTCGAACTCCTGACCCTGAGCGATCCGCCCACCTTCAGCTTCCCAGAGTGCTAGGATTACAGGCTTGAGCCACCACGCCTGGCCCTCATTCAGGTTTAGTTTCTTAGAGATCACTGTTACATCTCTTCTAATCTGCAGTGGTATCAAGCAACTAACCAGCTTGGGAATCTTGTAACTGTCCAGCTAATGGGATGAAACCTACCTCTCGGAGCTCTGAGATTTTGTTCACTTTTAGTGCTATTTTCTTCAATCTTGCTGAGGTAACATTTGTACTAAATTGCCTGAAATCAAACAGTAGAGATCTGATCTTCACTTTATTGCAATGACCTTCTTAGCTGACCCTTTAGTAATTTAACCCATATCCTAACGGTCCAATTAAAATCACATCAAATAAGTAAAATTGGATTTTCCTTTGTAGTTTGTGGAAGCCATCCTTACCTAAGAAGCTCTAAGTATTTTCTTTTTTTTTCCTTTGGAGACAGTGTTACTCTGTTGCCCAGGCTAGAGTGCCATGGTATTAGCCTAGCTCATAGCAACCTCAAACTCCTGGGTTTAGGCAATCCTTCTGCCTCAGCCTCCCAAGTACCTGGGACTACAGGCATGCACCACCATGCCCGGCTAATTTTTTCTATATATTTTTAGTTGTCCAGCTAATATCTTTCTATTTTTAGTAGAGACCAGGTCTTGCTCTTGCTCAGGCTGGTCTCAAACTCCTGAGCTCAAACAATCCTCCTGCCTCAGGCCTCCCATAGTGCTAGGATTACAGGCCACCACGCCCGGCCAGCTCTAAGTGTTTTAGCTTCTTATTCAACATACCACAGTTAGGGTTTTGAGGCATAAAGTATATATTAAATGGCATTTCCATTCACTCAGTTGGTATTCATGGGCACCTACTCCCTAGCGGGTAAAGAACTGTGTTAGCCTGGCCACTCATTTCCTATTAACGAGGTCATGTCGTACTTGATGCAGTTGGTAATCTCTGATATCACCGTGTATAAGGCCCAGTTTAGGAGCCCCAGTGAGCAAACAATGATGTCCACAGGCTGCTGCCATCAACAAGCTTCTAATCTGTACTGAGCTAAACAAGTACATAAAGTCATTCTAATACAGGGCATGATTTAAGTATCTTAAAAGAAGTATAAAATGAAAAAACATACACATACATTTTTATTTCACTGGCAAGAGATGTACTACTCCATTGTAGAAACCAACAAGGACATTGTGAAGGAGATGGCTGCTGACCAGGACCCTCTATAGGCTGTGATTTTATATTTCAAAATTAGTGAAACTTCTCCCACATGTATTTTATAGATCATTTTGAAGGGGCCTGACATCCACTCAAATGTTTTTCTTAAAGTAACTCAGAAAGCTGAATTAGGCCAGGTGAGGTGGCTCATGCCTGTAATCCTAGCACTCTGGGAGGCTGAGGCAGGAGGATGGCTTGAGCTCAGGAGTTTGAGACCAGCCTGAGCAAGAGCAGACCCCATCTCTACTAAAAATAGAAAAATAAGCCAGGCATGATGATATGCGCCTGTAATCCCAGCTACCTGGGAGGCTGAGGCAGGAGAATCGCTTGAGCCCAGGAGTTGGAGGTTGCTGTGAACTAGGCTGATGCCACGACGGCCCTCTAGCCCAGGTGACAGAGCAAGACTCTCCTCAAAAAAAGAAAGAAAGCCGAATTATTCTAAGTTTAAAAATTTGCAGATAAGACTACCAATCTTCCTCACATAGTAGGCAATCCCACTCCATCCCCACCTTTAAAACCTCAGTGTTAGCATAATCCTCATACTGATTCTAAATCTCTCCCAATATTGTTTAAATTTGTTTTCCTCTTTTCAGTCTGTAGAAGAAACAGACTTTGATAATCAAATGATTACCATTAGGCCTAATAGCAATCTTCATTTGTTAACATAGCTCTCCCATGACAGAGGGTAACTGAGAGCCAGGCACATGAGTCTCATTTAATCATGAAAACAAACCTGAGGCAAAGCTATTATTCTCCCCATTGTAATAATGAAGAAGCTGGGGCTTTTAGCAAGTGATCTGACAAGGCCATACAGCCAGGAAGTGTGAGTCAGCATTGGAATGAGAGGTTTAATCACCAGACTATCCTGCTGTCTGCTACTAACTACTTTTACAAAGAGAGAAATTTACTGAACAGGTTAAAAGACACTGAAATGACAGAGCAAATGAAAATTCGAAATGTCTCATCCATTCAACAAACACTGCAGTGACTCTATACCATCAAAGAACAACTACAAAAAAGTACTTTGAAAATAAATATTTAATAATAATGGAACTATAATGTTTTTATCTTTACAATGCCTTTGGAAAAATTCTTTCCATCATCTTCAGATTCAGTCAAAAAAAATAATTGTACATTGTACTTTTCAAGTGGGGTTGAAACCACTGTTAAATATTTCACATAAAATATCTTCGTATCTATGTTAACATACTTTTATGTTTAATGTAAACAAAATTTCATAGGTTTTCACATTCATTTTCTGCTGACATCTTCTTCAAAAGAATGCTGTATGCCCATTTTTCAGATAAAAGAGGCTAAAATAATACGATTGGGAGAGACTTAAAGAGAGGAAAAAAGCATGCTAAGGGAGCCAGTAAACCAGCTGAGGGTGGAACAACTCCCCAGGTCTTCAGAGAGGCAGCTGAGAGGACTATGAACCAGCAAATGCCAGCCGCCTATTATCTAGCTTAGAAAGGTGCACACCTCTGAAAGCGGCTGAATTTAAGTCCAGTGTGGCACTTTCAGAAAATGGCATCAAAGGTTGGGCTATAAATCTTTCTTATTCTCAAGTCACTGGACATTTAAGAGCAAAGATATTGATGGGCTCTTTCTCTCCTTTTCTTTTTCCTTGTAACAGATGTATGATTCATGGATTGTCCTTTAGTGGTCTCCATTTTCATCTTATTACTTTTTCTTTGCTTCTGCTTTCTGACAGCTCTGAAAAACAAGGTGCTAAATTATTTTATAGAATGAGCACAGTGAATTATGTAATTATGTTGAAGTTTAATTAACTAGCTAACTAAATACGAAAATAGAAGGAAAAGAATTTACTGTGTCACAAGCATAAATCCTCAGTATCCTAACCATAACAACCAGGAAATAGAGGCCTGACCAAGCAAAATGTGTGAGAAAAAAAAATTCCTTAAAAGACGGTTACAAAGGATTTAGAACAAGCTATTTGGGACAAGCACACCGCAGAGGTAAACAGCATAGCCAGTAAGTTTGTTTCATTTTTTGTTTTTTTGGTACATCTGTACTGCTCAACTCAGCACTTCAATCTCAAGATCCCCAGATTACATTTTTTAGGAGAGAGACCAACATATTTGGCAGTTAGGAGAGGAAGAAAAATGAAACAGCACAACAGAAAAAACTGATAATACTTGAAAGGGGTCATTTTTTAGGTCCTACAGATTTTCCTTTCCTCAGTAGATCTAAAAGTCCTGACAGGAGCCACATGGAATGTCCACATTTTGTGGTCCATATCTTCTTGAAGACTAGCTTCAGAATGAACAAGCTGGAACTCACCCACTAAAAACACTAAACCACACCAGACAAAACACCAGACAAAACAATACCTTTATTTCTGGTATCCTCTTAACCAAGTTATAAGCAACCTGTGGCTGAGAAATATTACCAGTCCATCCATTCACTTTCTCCAGGCTAGCAGAATCATGCCATTTCTATCAAGAACCAAGGAACAGGCTGGGGCTAACAGCACTGGCAAACCTGAAAACTTCCCCTGGCTACTCAGCAATATCAATCATTAGAACCACCTCTCATAAGCCACAATAAGCGCAAAGCTTTTTCCTAGGACAATAGTATAAATACATAAATAGTATATAAATACATAAATAGTATAAATAGTATAAATACAATAGTATAAATACATTTATACTATTTATACAATAGTATAAATAGTATAAATACATAAATAGTATAAAAACCCCTAATGGGTCAAACTCATGCCTTACTTTCTGTTTACTCCATATATATATTTCATGTTGGGAATACAAAAATGAATAGATATAATCTTTGACTTCAAGGAGTTGTGAAAGAGACAGGACAAATGTCACCCTTACCCCCATCTTTTATAGGTAAAGAACTGATGCTATGAAATCTATGATCACCCCATGAAGAAGTGACAGAAGCAGCCTGAATCCAGATTCAGTGTTCTTAATCACTTGGATACTACATACTGTATTATAAACTATTCAGATATGTAAAATGCTAACCATATAGTAATCACTTCATAAATATTAGCTATTATTAGTAGTTCCACAAGACCATCAAGTGGAATTTTGCTTGACAACTTGACATTTTTCCATAGATTTTGCATTATGGACTAGGACACCCTACCAGTTCAAAATAAAACAGTCATCTTTATATCGATTCACGCATGTTATATAAATCTCTTTTTCCGGGCCATTTCTTAGAAGTAGGATAATTTTTAGATGTGACAATTTAGCAAATTTAATGAAGTATAGTATAATTTCTACTGGCAAAGTCAATGAAGTCATGTGTTCCTGTATACAAATTTTAAATTTCTCTTTGGCTCATCCACTCATAAGGGAACTAAAAATGAACCAGATTTCACTAGGGATATAGTTTAAAAAAAACAGAAAAAAAATTGAAAATATTCATTTGTAATATGAATATATAAAACTTTCCAGAGATAGTCTTTGAACAGTGATGAACTGATTAAGTATAAGTCAATTAATTGTTTTATTTTGCCTTAAAATTAAATTGACCTAGAATTTGTCCTCTAAATTAGATATTTATGTAATGAAAAAATGAGCTTTAACCACAAGAGGGAGCTAGCATCATTCCAGTTCACATCTAAAGAAACACTAACACTAAAGAAAAACAAATTAATGGAAGACAGCTATAAAAAGTGGAAGATGGAAAGACCTTTTATGCCATATATGTTTAAAAGGCTATTCAAATGATTTTTTACTATTGTAAAGAAAAAATAATTTTGCCTTATCAATTTCATTATAAAATTTTTTTGAATGCAAAAACTGTTAACAGGAATTTAGGAGTCTTCTTTCAGAGAAGAAAGTAATACTATTTAGAATTAGCAGGTATCCGTTATCTCAAGGGATTTGCTCTTGGAATTAAACTTGACAAAATCTAATACTGAAAGATACTAGAATGATTTTCCCCAATGAAAATAATATATTGCTACCAAAGAGACTAGCTGGGGCTATTTAGGAAGCAATGAAGAGCCTACAATATATTATTAAAATGCAAATTCAGTTTCCATGTGTCGTAAGTTCACAGAATTAAAGGCTGAGCATGTTACTAACTCCAGTTTCTATCCAGAACTACACTGTAAATAGTGCGACAATCCCAAACCAATAAGTTTATAAGGTTGTATTCCATTGTTGAAAGTTTCTAAGGAAAAATATTTTATAAGATTCTTCAATAAGCTTCTTTAATTAATTTTTAAAAATTAATTAATTACTTCTATCCTGGATTACTTAGGAAATAATTATTTAAAAAGTAAATTTATGAAAGAAGCACTTTAAATAGTGGGCAGAATTCAAGTGGCTGAAATGGAAAATCAATTTTCACTGACCATAAATAAATAAATAAATGGAAAAGAATGCTAATATTATCATAAATAGTTACTAAAGCATCAGATACTTTTAATACTAATTGATATTTTTTCATCACAAGTCATATGATAGCCCAAAATTTTTATCCTAATCTCAATTTTTATGTAATGTTAAATTTCACTATCTGGTAATCTGCAATTAATAACTGTGTGATGTGAGGTAAGGTTTTCTTATCAATAAAACAAAAGGACTTAATCTTTAGCATCCCTTTCAGTTAAAAAAAAAAAAAGAATACTCATTCAAATTAGCCCAGTTGAAACCACAATGGTTTTTCTAAATATGCTAACGTCATCGGTATAACTTTGCTCTGAGCTATAATCAGTACCAAATATTGGTGGGAGAAGTGAAAATAATCACAGAAAAATAATAAAAGATTTTAAAATATTTAACTATTAAGCATGTCTCAATATTTTTCTTGAAATCTGATATAATTTGAAGAAATAACTTCACTTTGCAATTTGTCTACTGTGAAAGTAGACAAAGTGTCTCCTCCAGCCTTTCCCACATCCGATCCATCCCTTGAAGCCTGACTTAAACATCATGTCCTTCAATAAAGCCTGAACTCTCATCCCACAATTATAATTTCACATGAACCACAGGAGATGTAAAGCTTATCACTTTCTAACTCATACTTTGGTTATTTTCATGTCTAACTTGTGAGAACATAGGTTCCTTGAACATAAGCTCTTTGACTCACCTGCCTATCCTTCCCCCATCTATGCAAACAGTACAAAATAGCGAAAATAACAATCAACTTAGCACTTCTGAATCCCCTGAATGCTGTATATTTTGTGGACTGCACTGTACAAAAAGCACATGTGGAAAATTTCTTTCTAATAAATAAAGAATTCAACTAACTTGTTAGCTCTTTTAGGTGTAGCGATGTTAGGACAAGTACTGCGTTTGTGATCCAATTCACCACAAATAAAACAGCCATCTTTAGGGCCCTCGCAAGAGTGACCTGGAAGAGCACAACGATTGCAAATGCTACAGTGGATCCAGGCTGTAAAATAAAAATTACGCTTTAAAAGAAGTTCATTTTGTATAATTTTTCATTTTATTAACTTTTAAGGTACGATACATGAACAGTGTTTACTTGAAATATTGTGGCTGGGTTTGCTTAATTAGTTTTAATTTGGCTAATGAGACCAAGGTGAAGAGGTTGAAATCCCACATAAACTAGCTAACGTCTTTCTGTTACACGGCAACAAATTCAGTTCTTCTCCAATGAGTCCTGAGCTGACAGCTACTATTACAAGGGAGACTGGCTGAGTGACACAAAGTCCTATTAAAGTTAGCAGTCATCACTCCCTATGCAGGACAGAACATATATATGTTGGTAACTAAAATTAAAAAGCAAATAAATTACTGCAGTTCTCTAAATTAATTACTTTTTCCTTAAAAATACTATTAAATAAAATCCTATATAGATGGAGAATTCTAAATTGTTTTCACAGGATTTCAAACACTAAGTCTCAATACTTACAAGGCTTTACACACTTTTTGCAGAGAAAGCAATGGTTCCACTTCCTGCCATCCTAAAAAAAACAATTTTTAAACTATATTTAATTTGTTATTAAAAATCAAGTTCCACAATTAAAAATTAAAATGTCTTATTAAAATCCATGTAAATTATTCATTCCTTATTTCTCCCTTTTCTGTGCTTGACAATTAAATACTTTGATTTTAATTTATGCATTCATTTCTCCACTCAACTCAAATGACTCCTTGATGGGCATCAATTTCCTTAACTGTAAAACTAGGAGATTTATCTAAATGATCTTGAAAATCCACTCCAGTTCAAGCAACTCAATCTACACAAAGAAAAGACTCAAATGAAAATTTCAAGAGAATTAATGATTCATAATTTTATGTGTCTATACTGTATAATCCTTAATGAAATTCATATTTGAGAACTTTAATTTAGAAAGATAGATTACAGGTTACAGTTTGATTAATTTTAAAACTATGAAATAAAACATATCTAGAAAAGTACAAAAAACACATCTATCTATCTTAATGAGTATCATAAAGCAATGATGAAACACACCAGGTCAAGAAATAGACCAGCCCCCTAAAACCTCCCACGTGCCCCTTCCTGGGCACGGCGTTCCTCCCTTCCCCACTGAGTAACACCTATTCTGGTTTTGTGGCGGTCATTTCCTTGCTCTTGTTTATTTTTACTACCTCTGTGTGAATCTCTAGAAAAGTTTTGTTTTCCTCAATTTTAAACTATACAATCTGGACATAGTCTTTTTAAAATGAAAAATACTGATCATTTCTAAACTAATTGAAAATACATATACATAATCAGATGTGTTACCATAGTTAAAAACAAGTATAACCAGTAATAAAATTATACAATTAAGAAAAATGTACTTTCTAATATTCACATGAATGCAGCCTTTTCTTTGGAGAATAATTTGTGCTTAATAGCCAAAGTAAACTTCACATGTGCTCTTTCTGACCACATTTAATTAAAATACACAAAGCAATTTAAGGGTCATTCTATCTTCCTAAAAAACTAAGAAGTTTATTCATAATCACCAAAAATTGGGAAGCAACCAAGATGTACTTCAGTAAACGAATGGGTAAACAAACTGTTGGTATATCCCGATAGAAGAATATTATTCAGTGCTAACAAAAAATGAGCTGCTAGCCATGAAAAGACATGGAGGAAGCTTGAGTGCCTATTACTAAGTGAAAGAAGCCAATCTGACAGGCTACATACTATATGATTCTAACTATATGACATTCTGGAAAAAGCAAAACTGTGGAAACAGTAAAAAGGTAAGTGGTTGACAGAGGTTGGGGGAGAAAGAAGGATAAATAGGCAGAGCACAGAGAGTTTTGGTGAAAACAGTGAAACCATTCTGCATAATTACTATAATGGTGGATATATGTCATTATACTTTGTTGTGTTGGGGTTGTGTCCAAACCCACAGAAAGTACACCACCAAGAGTGAGCCCTAATGCAAACTCTGGACTCTGGGTGTTAATGATGCACTGAGTAGGTCATCAGTGGTAACAAATGAATTACTCTGGTGGGGGGTGTTGATAGTGGGGGAGCCTGCACGTGGGGGAAGGGAGTATATGGGAAATCTTTGTACCTTCTGCTCTATTTTGCTGTACACCTAAAACAGTTTAAAAATAACATCACTGAAAAAAATAATAGCTAAATAAATAAATAGGAGGTATGTCTCTTGTAGTCCTTCCTCATCTGTAAATATGTAGGGAGTAACTGTACCTACCTAATAAGGCTGTAGTGAGGATTAAATAAGTTAATCCATGTACAGCTCTTAGGAAAGGCTTGGCACATTAAGAGTGCACAGCGCATATTATTATTTCATCAGAATGGTAATTATGTAATAGTTTAGTGCCTTATTTGAAACATCATAATTTTAGTAGTACCATAAGTATAATCTTACAGTACCATATGAACATGAATTCAAATAATTGTTGGTGATGATGAAGACAACTAAATTTTTTTTTTTTTGAGACAGTCTCACTCTGTTGCCCGGGCTAGAGTGCCATGACGTCAGCCTAGCTCACAGAAACCTCAAACTCTTGGGCTCAAGCAATCCTTCTGCCTCAGCCTCCCAAGTAGCTGGGACTACAGGCATGCGCCACCATGCCCAGCTACTTTTTTCTATATATTTTTAGTCGGCCAATTAATTTCTTTCTATTTTTAGTAGAGACGGGGTCTTGCTCTTGCTCAGGCTGGTTTTGAACTCCTGACCTTGGGCAATCCTCCTGCCCTCGGCCTCCCAGAGTGCTAGGATTATAGGCATGAGCCACCACGCCCGGCAGACAACTGAATATTTTTAAAAGCCTGTTGTATTCTATAATTTAAAATAAGTTATGGTATTAAAGTTTAATTAACAAATGATAATTCATTAATACAAATGGCAATATTAACAAAATAATATTTAAAAAGTAATGAAACTAGTAAACTAAAACTAATATACCATTAGTATATTAAAATAAAAATAGCAAAAATACATTCTATAAGAAAACTATACCTTGGATGTGCAAGAATTACAGTGCTCACAGTGTTGGTTCTCTAGAGAAACATATCGTTGACAAAGAGGGCAAAATCTGAAGAGTAAAGAAACAGAAAAATCAGCTGCATATATTTATTGAGATTCACAGAGTAGATAAAAGTTTATAAGGACACTGATTACAAAAACCAGGTATAACCCGAATTCAATTCAATATGAAATTATGGACCTAATTTAAAAGTAATAGAAGAACTACGATTCAATATTGAAAGCATTTTCACTGCTAGATTTATGTAACTTTATTTTAAATTATTTGTGTATTTCAAAATCCCACTGTGATCTTACCTGTATCCTTCCTCGGTAGGAAGGATTATTTTGTTGCGTGGAACGTTAGTGAAAATACGCACAGGAGACTGTTTTCGACCTGTCTTTCCATGTTTATAAAGGGCATGATTATCATAATCTACCTAGAAAATTTTTAAAAAATTAAAGCAAAAAAATTTTACTCAAATTAATCAATATTTATTAAGATTCTTTAACCAATAAATGAACAAGCTGATATCAAGATGTGAGGTAAACCAAAGTATTTAATAAAAAATTCTTTTTTTTCTTTTGAGACAGGGTCTTCTCACTCTCGCTCAGGCTGGAGTATGTCATCAGGGCTCACTGCAACCCCAAACTCCTGGGCTCAAACAATCCTTCTTCCTCAGCTTCCCAAGTAGCTGGGACTACAGGCACCTGCCACCAGGCCTGGATAATTTTTGTTGTGTTGTTGTTGTAAAGATGGGGGTCTTGCTGAGTTGCTCAAGGCTGGTCTCGAACTCCTGGCTTCAGCAATCCTCCTGCCTCAGCCTCCCAGAGCACTAGGATTACAAGCATGAGCCACATCGCCTGTACAGCGCTCAGCCTGTTGTATTAAGAGAACAACCCTAATCTTTTATTCAATACAACAGACTTTATAAGAAAGTCTATTTTGTAATTAAGAATTTAGCTGTTGGCATTAAAAACTTCTGCTTTGAGGATATGTGCTGGTTTGGTAGGGGCTTCTCATTTTTCTGTCAAGTTCACTGTGTGTCAGTTTCCAGCTCACGAAGGTTAAGTCCAGCCTCAGTCTGGCCCTCCCCAGCCCCCACTATCTGTCCTCTCACACTCTGGCAGACACTCTGGTTTGTGGGCCAGACAGGCACTGCCACTTTCTTATGTGACCTTTGACAAATTTACTATTTTTCATCTGTAAAAGGTGGTTACTGATAATTACCTTAAAGTTGCTGTAAAGGTTAGATGAGATAATGTATGTAAAACACTTAGTTCAGGGCCTAACATAAAGTACAAAAATCGAGGTGAAGAGAGAGGTTCACAACTACAGTTGTTCTCCCCACAGTTGCCATCCCAAACAGTTCCCTCTCTCCTCCAGATCCCTAACTCAACTTTTAGTTTCAGCAGATTACCTTGAAAGCAAAGCTACAACAAGCATGATTTCTATTCTCTTCTGGCTTCCATCTTCTCCCCAACCTATTACTCACATATAATCTCAATTTGAGAATTTGAGAAGCCTGCTATGAATCCACCTGGCCACTAAATCCAACTTTCCTTAGGTTAGTAATTCTCGAAGTGTGGTACTGAATCAGCAACACCAGCGCGTCACCTGGGATCTTGTTAGAAATGCAAATTCTCAGCTCACCTAGGACTTGACAAATCAGAAACTCTGGTGATGGGCCCCAGTAATCTGTGTTTTAACAAGCCCTCCTGACGTGCTACAGTTTGAGAACCACTGCTTTAGCTTATCCACAAGAATACCATGAGGTTTTTATGAGGTCAGTGTAGGTAAGCCCCAACGTTCAGATATGTTGTAGTGAATTGTTTGAATTCTAAACAAGAATACACTTAAGAACTTACAAATGGAACTGGCTTGCAAGTTAGCTATTTAATAAGTGAATCACAAAAATATAAGAAGTTGATGACAAGGAAACGAGAGGTCTTCAATGGCAGATCCCTAGGTTTGCTCTCCAGGTGTGTATAGTTTAACGCCAAGCATCAGCAGTGGAAAAAACAAAGTACAGGATGAAGAGACCCAAAGGACAATGTGAAAAAACTCCTAGGGGTTTCCGGCTGACTGTGAGCACAGTGAGTCCACAGTCCAGCACACATGTGTACGAGCTACTTGGAAATATAGTATCATAACAAGGGAAGTACGAGGTTAGATCACATCTGAAGCTCTGTGCTCAGTCACTACATCTTAAAAGAGACACTGATAAAACCAGTTCATTTCTAACAAAAATAATGGGAATGAACAGAATTTATAGTTTAACAAATTGGGGGTGTTTATTCAGGAAAGAGAAGGCTGGGAGGACCTGATAGCTGTTTTATAACTGAAGGGGTGTCATATGGAATAGAAATTGGACTTATCCTTTATTGCCTCAGAGAAAAGAACTAGGACCAATGGTTAGAAGTTAATGGGGAGCATATTTTATCTCAATATGAGAAAATTTTCAAACGATTAGAGCTATTAAATAAATTGCATAGCCTTGTAAGGCTGTGGGCCTCTGCTCACTGGAAGCATTCAAGTGAGGCTAGATGACTGCTGGTCATGAATTTAGTGGTGAGGATTATTACATTGGGAAGTCAGCCTAGGTTACCTCTACGTTTCTTGCCAACTTTAAAAATTCTATGAATATATGTTACCTATTAGAGGCTAAGTTACAAAAGTAGATTTTACTAGAAAATCACCTTAAAACAGTACCTTAAGTAGTTTTCTTTTAAAATGATTTAAATTCATGTTTTTTCCTCTAATGTACTCCTCTGTGTACTCAATAAATATATGGTACCTTATTAAGTTCAACAAAGATGTTTTGAACATTTATGTGTGTCATAAGAAAAAAATCCTTCCCAAGAGGATCTTATGAAGATTTTAAAATGTTGGAAAACCATATTTTAGAAATATTTCTAGTACATGGAATATTCTATAAAATATAATAGATAGCAGATGGAAGAGAGGGGGAAAAAAAGAACAATTTCTTTATGGTTATCCAAGGAGTGAGAGAATGTATGTGTCAGGAAGGTGGTTGATTGCTTGATTTTGCATAACCTAATTGAGATTATTATTATTTTTAAATGTGGGTTTGTTGTGCTAATTAACTATAAACATATGGTATGTAAAATACATGCTGCTAGGGTAAATTAATGTACCTCTAACATACATCCATATTTCATAGCTTCATCCACACAAATAAACCTCCTATGGAAGTGCTGTAAAGCAAACACAATTTTGCAAATTGCACATCACTAGTAGTAGAGCTGATACACCATTTTCCCATCATTATCCCTGACATTTCACTCACAATGATGATTAGAGGCATTTTCAAATAGAAAATTTCTCCCATGGAACTGATTAATGTGATGAAGTACTGTATAGAAATGAGGGAAAGCACAAAATCTCCGCAATTCCTAACTTTTAATTTTATCTATACGCAAATGTCTTCTGTACCAGGAGACTGCAACTACTGAAATGAAGACCAAGACATTCAAGTTAACATTATTTTGTACCTACTGTGTTCCAGGCATCATGCCAGAAAACAAAGACTTGCATTTTCTTAACTCCCTAAGCATTGTGCTACACTGAATTTCAGCATACACAAAAGGTCACAAGTGTACTCTTCAGCTCCACCAAAGCTTCTACCACACAGGTCTTTTAGTCATATTCCCCACATCCCATGTAACTCTTAAAATTTATACACACACACACACACACACCTCTCTTACCCCCTTTCCACTCAAACCCACTAAATGTTTAATATAGATTGAATTTCAAGAATTTCCATAGCTAATCTTGTAATTTGCAATAATTTCCTAGAAATTCCTATCAAAATATCTTCATTTCTGACTGTGAAACTAATCTAGAAAAACAGTGTCTACACAGGCTGATTTTAAAAAAGGATAGCTGTGACAAAAACAAAGAGCTCTATTTCTACTTTTAACACTCTAGACAAGTGATCCCATATTAAGTAGAAAGAAGAGAAAACAAAATGTTCACGGTGGCAGGGATGTAAGATCATCTCATCCAGATACGGTAAATACAGGACATAAATGCCACCACTCCCTGCCTCGTCCCCCATGGCAGACATTGCTAGTCATGTTACTCTTTTGCCACTGAGCTTGGCATTCTCAACAAATTCTCCAGAAAAATCACTAGTAATCTATCAGGCTTAGCACCAACAGTGAAACTTATCTGCCATCTCTTTTCTGGGTCAATCATTTTATTTTACAGGTAAGGAAACAGAGACCTGGAGAGATAAAGTGATGTCCCCTAAGATTAACTAGCTTCTGAAAGGCAGTGCCAGGACTCAAACATCTGCCTCTAAACGAGAGTTTCTTTTCATCATCATATCCTTTCCAATCTGTCCTTAATAAAACTCTGGGTTGTCTGGGTCTTTGATGACTATTTTATTCTGTACTCATCAAGTGCTTCATCACTGAAGAGTCTACATAATTTATGTTTTATGAAGATGTGTAGCATTTCCGCCTTCCTCTTACCTGAAAAGTATTTTCAAAAAAGAGGTTTAGTGATTTTGTTTTTTTACTGCATTTGGTTTGGGGACTTATAATCATCTTAGGTGATGTCCAAAAAAAAGCCTTAATCACGGTCTGTGGGAAAAGATCTGAGAAGGAGGGGAGAAGACTTTCACATGTTTCATTTGGTGAAAGCTAATACAAAAAAAAAAAAAAAAGTACCAGAAAATGAAGTTAAAGTAAGAAAAGAAAAAAAAAGAGGAAAGCAAAAGGCTCAGAAAGGAATAATATTAACAGGTCCAGAGACATTTTCAAAAAAGAAAATAGAAAAGTCATCAAAGAGGAAGTACATCTTAAGGTTTATAAATACATACAACCTGGCGAAATCAGTTTTTCCAACATGAGAATGTCCTGGGCAGTACTGTTCTTACCTTTTGTTGGAATCACAAAACACTTAAATTTTGTTTTATAGAGTTTATTCTCATTTTTCTTTCTAAAAGTTGGCTCTCTTTATTGAAAAGACTGTTTACCCTGTCAGGTACACATGACCTAATCAAAACCTTTTCCACCAATACACTGCGGTATATAATTATTTTCCACAAGCTTGGACCTTGCAACTATTTCTCAAAACTGTAACTCTGGGATTTCCAAAAGTTCTTTCCTAATAACACAGGCTTTCACCAAATGAAACATGTGAAAGTCTTCTCCCCTGCTTCCTAGATCTTTTCCCACAGACCATGATTAAGGCTTTTTTTTTTGACATCACCTAAGATGATTATAAGTCCCCAAACCACAATGCAGTAAAAAAACAAAATCACTAACCCTCTTTTTTGAAAATACTTTTCAGGTAAGAGGAAGGCGGAAATGCTACACATCTTCATAAAACATAAATTGTGTAGACTCTTCATTGTGAAGCACCTGATGCCTAAACAAGCCATGGTCCACTACTCCACATTAACCTTTCTCATCCACATGTAATCAGTATCTGCCTTCTTTCTGCCCCCCCTCACCATTTCAAACTCTGCCCAAATGTGGATGTAACAGTTTTCTGAGGAACCTTGTATCATGCAATTTTAATGTCTCAGATATTGTACAAAAAAAGGACGTAAGACTTTCTGAATGATGACAATGACAATGACGGTGACGGCAATGGCAACACCAAGAACCAACCCTACACTTGCTGTGTGTTAAAGGACTGGGCTTAGCCATTTCATGCATTATCTCATCAAATCCTTCAAATCTTAAGATATATTATTATTACACTCACTTCACAAGTAAGATGAGTTTCACAGAGGTCAAGTAAGTGGCAAAACCAGGATTAAAACCCAAATCCTGGCCAGGTGCAGTGGCTCACGCCTGTAATCCTAGCACTTTGGGAGGCCGAGGCGGGAGGATTGCTCAAGGTCAGGAGTTCCAGACCAGCCTGAGCAAGAGCTGAGACCCTGTCTCTACTAAAAAAAATAGAAAGATATTAGCCGGACAACTAAAAATAGATATAGAAAAAATTAGCCAGGCATGGTGGCACATGGCTATAGACCCAGCTACTTGGGAGGCTGAGACAGAAGGATTGCTTGAACCCAGAAGTTTGAGGTTGCTGTGAGCTAGGCTGATGCCATGGTACTCTCTCCTGGGCAACAGAGTGAGACTCTGTCTCAAAACAAACAAACAAAAACAAAAATCCTTTTTTACTTCATAGTTGGTGCTTTTTCACTCAGTTATTCATTCAATACATATAGGGCACCTACTTTGTGCCAAGCATCTAAGGAGACAATTATTCATTGCCAAAGGCAGCAGGAGCTGTTGAAAACTAGAACCAGTTTACTTAGTTAACATCCTAAGAATATGTCAGCTATTTTTGCATTGCAAATGTCAATACGAGGAGCATCCCTCAGACAAGAAACAGAAAACTGGATGCCCTAAAAAGGAGAGTAAACCAGATTTAAGAATTATTATGTGGATTTTGCCTGAAGCAGAGCTGAACAACTCAAGGTTAAAATGGCTTGTGCTATACACTTTCGGAAAGGAACCTGTTAATATGGCTCAATAGCCATAAAAATGTCCATTAAACTTAATAAAGTAATCTCAGTTTTGGAAACCTATTTTAAGAAAGGTATGAAAATATGGAAAAATTATAAGCAAAAAAATGGTTATAGCAGTGCTATGTATAGTACATTAAGGTAGAAACAACCTATAGCCCCAAAAGAAGGGAATGATAACAAAGCTTGTTAATGAAATAATTTAAAAGAATTAAAAGCATAAGGATTATGTACCTACCTTTAAAATTGTACACTTATAAGACATAGTGAAGAAAGCAGAATTCAAAATTGTCTTCTATGATTACAAAAATGTAAAAAGTGCTTTTTAAAAAAGATTATAAGTGAATACTTTGAAATTATATTTGCTGTTTAGGTAGAATCACAGGTAGGGTCTGTCCTCTCATTTTTGGTAACACTGTTTCACAATAATTCTCTTAATGGTATATGCCTTCAAGATGAGAAAGATCAGAACCAAATGCTGCCTTCCAACAACTAGTGAAGATGTTTACAGTTAAAACTATAAAGAGCTGAGAAGCCTTAAATCAGAGGCTTAAATCAGATCAATTATTCAGAAAACTGAAATAGAAAAATGTCATTACAAAAAGAGGAAGTAGTCCCCATGTGGAGACCATACATAGTGATGGCAACAACAGGGTTAATGTCAAACCCAAAGAAGCAAATCCAGGGAAGTGGACATTAAAGTAGAAGAAGGAACTTAACGGACAAGGTGGAGCCACTGTGTACACCAGCCTCATTCTCATCTCAGGCATAGGGAAAATCCCACAGGCAGTGCTGGGAAGGAGCAAGTTGCTCACTCCAATAACTTCTGCCCTGAATCAGCACACGCAAGCCCACACAGAAAGCCATTTATCTCTGCCCTCTCTGACGCTCCTGGCATCCTCTCATGACATAGTAAAGTGTATATGGCATTCTGCCAACCAGAAAAAGTGATTTATTTTTCTACAACCTCTATTTTTTTTCTTTTTTAATGAAATTAACACAAGATATATTTTTCTACAACCTCTGAACAGAGCAAACCAACATTCATAATGATAATCCTAGGGCCTACAAAATCTTCTGGTGATGAGAAAAGATTAGATCAGTTAGTCTAAAACCTAGCTGAATTCAGAATCACTTGAGAAGCTTGGTAAAATATTTTTTCTTGGGGCTTTGCCCTCTGAATTTGATTCAGTAGAGTTTTTTTTTTTTTGTACTCAAGAATCTATATTTTCAACAAGCACCTTAGGGATTACAGACATTTAGACTGGACTAAACTATATATGGTATAATTTTAGTGTTTAACGCTAAACACATAGTATTTTCATAGTATTTTCATTTACCAAAATCAATGCACGTTCTTATCAGAATATCTATTTAAGCAAAATATCCATTCCCCAACCATGCCATAAAACAGAATATTTACTATACCTGGTAATCCAGCATGCAGAAGCTTGGAAAAAACTGACAAATGCGGGACTCAAAAAAATAGGGGAAAATCCAGAAAATGGGTAGTTCTTTGTGACTGTCATCTAGTGGATCACAAAAAAGGAGAAAGAAAATAAACTGATATTAAAGAAAAAATAGAAATCTGCCTCTGGTGTTGTGAGAAATTGTAATTGTTCAACTTATTTAAATCTCACCCAAAAAGAATATTTACCACAGTGCCATTTACAGCCTGATCTTTCCCAAAGGTCAGTGGAAATATTCTTTTCTGTATAGACATAGCTACAAAGGGCATGTAAAAATAACCCTTACACGTATATTACTCAAAATGTGGAAAATGAAAGAGTATCACTCTGAAGCACAAAGGTAGTCCTGATATAGTGGGAGGACCCCTGAACTGGAAGGCAGAAAGAGTTGGGTCTAAACCCTAGCTCTGCCACAACTCATTATTTTGGTTTTCAGGGATGAATCAACCTTTTCTTAGTCATGGAAGATTCTTAAAAACAATCTTATCAAAATTAGGTTTTTTTGTTGGTTTTTTTTTTTTTTTTTTTTTTTTTTTGAGACAGAGTCTCACTTTGTTGTCCAGGCGTGGCGTCAGCCTAGCTCACAGCAACCTCAAACTCCTGGGCTTGAGTGATCCTTCTGCCTCAGCCTCCCGAGTAGCTGGGACTACAGGCATGCGCCACCATGCCCGGCTAATTTTTTTTTTTATATATATATCAGTTGGCCAATTAATTTCTTTCTATTTATAGTAGAGACGGGGTCTCGCTCTTGCTCAGGCTGGTTTTGAACTCCTGACCTTGAGCAATCCGCCCGCCTCGGCCTCCCAAGAGCTAGGATTACAGGCGTGAGCCACAGCGCCCGGCCTTTTTTTTTTTTTTTTTTAAGATGGAGTCTTGCTCTGTTGCCTGGGCGAGAGTGCAGTGGCATCATCATAGCTCACTGCAGCCTCAAACTCCTCAAGCTCAAGTGATTCTCCTGCCTCAGCTTCCTGAGTAGCTGGGATTAGAGGTGCACACCATGACACCTAGCTAATTTTTTCTATTTTTTGTAGAGACGGGGTCTCACTCTTGTTCAGGCTGGTCTCAAACTCCTGGCCTCTAGCAATCCTTCTGCCTCAGCCTCCCAAAGTGCTGGGATTATAAGGGTGAGCCACCAGGCCCAGCCTCAAAATTAGTTTTTATGAGAGACAGGAAACATAGCTATTATTTACAGAGTAACCAGTATAGCCTCAGCACTATGCTAGGTACTTTCTATACATTGTCTCCTTATAGTAACCCCTAGAGTTAGATATTAAAAATCCCATTTTACAGATGGTGAAACTAAAGCCTCAAGCTATCAAGTTCACGTAGCTAATAAGTGGCAGAACAGGAATTGAAGCCCTTATTGCTTCTCCAATAACACTGATTTTATTCACTCTGATTAGAAGACTTAAAAACAGCAAGTGAGTGAAATACTTAACAATATTAGTAATGTTTTAGATTTCATTTGCATTCTGTCCCCAAAGCTCACTATTTATGTAGCACAATTAATGGAGAACCTTGATGACACAATTCCTGACACTCTTACAATTTATCAATTTACAAGCTAGAAACTATTTCTAAAAAATGAGTATATGGACTAATTAGATAATTACATAATATACTTTGAAGTCCTAAGTCACTTTAAACATAGTAATAACCCCCAGCCAATAATCTACCCCTAGGGCTGGGAATCTGTGTCACTGATAACCACTATTAGCCTATTGGATATCAAACCTCCACACTCAAATCTTGGCAAAGTTTAAAGCTCTGGGCCTGAGGGTGGATGTCTTCTTAAGAGTTCTGGGCAAGACCTTAGGCTCAGAGAATGTAAGGTCCATAAGACAGAGATGGGTGTCTGCTTTCACTAATCTATTCCTAATACCTAAACAGTGCCTGGCACATAGTAGCCACTCAGTAAATATTTACTGAATGAATGACAATAGTTCATTCATGTCCCATTATCCCCATAAAAAATATTTTACCTTCAAGCCATTTTAAAAACACATGATTATAATAATACAAAGTCTATCATGATAATAAAGGTTGCCATATCATCAAATAAGACTGTTTTCAAAGAAGAGAGAAGAATCCAAGACATGTATTTTATATCAGTGCTCTGATTCAATGAGCTCAGCTAATATTTGACAGGAAGTAGATACATAGAGACATGTTTATTTTGAAGTAATAAATTACACACCTTGGCTTTGACCTTCTTTCCACATAGCAATTAACTTCTTGAATGTAACAGCCAGAGGTTCAACCAAGCCACCAAAAGGAGGATCTGTCACCATAATGACTCCTTCACCTTCATCTTCCTGTAAAAATGCTCTGCATATTTCAAGGGCAGCCTGGAACAAATAAAAATTCATTTCTAAATTAGGACTAGAGAGAGGCATTTCATCCTATTTGAAGGAGAATGCATTAGATTCAGTCTCACTCTTAGTGCTGGAAACTTTACCAAGTCATCCTGCCACTGCAACATCCCTTAGTAACACCCTGAAGCCACTCTTAGCCCTCCTAAGATTTTATCTTTGGGTTCCTTGATAAGCAGGATTTTAAAATTGCAAATTCAAACACCATCACTATCAAAAGGCTACACATTTCAAATGGTTAAATTAAAAAACTAAATTTAGTAACCTCAAAGAGAGAAACTCATTACCCATGAAAACCACCTAAAATGTTAAATTCAATTCAACAAACAGAAGCAGGGATGGTGCAACACTGGAGACACAAAGAGAAACCAGACATTTTTTTCCTATCTGGTTTGTCCACTGCCATAAGTTCAGTTTAATGAGTTACAAATTACCAGTTAAACATGCACATATTTTTGAATATCAGGTAAATGACAGGCATATTTGAACATGCACAGTAAGTCAATACATGAAAGTTCATGAATGACAAAACTTATTCAGTCCATGAAACTATGCTATTAACATGTTTTCCCAACAGGTTAACTTGAGCGTTTTTAGTAATCATAAAGTCAACATTAACAAATATATTTAACACTTTTTGCTTTGGGTGAAGTTATTAAGAGAGACACCTACAACAGTATCTCTAGTCTACTGACTTGGAAGTAGTTTTCAAGTCCAGTCCTCTCTCGGTATCCATGGGGCATGGTTCTAGGACCTCCCACGCCAAAATGCTCAAGTCCCTGACATAAAAGGTCGTAATATTTGCATATAACCTACACAAATCCTCCTGTATACTTTAAATCATCTCTAGATGACTTATAATACCTAATACAATGTAAATGCTATTTAAATAGTTAGACTATATTGTTTAGAGAATGACAAGAAAAAAAGTCTGTACATGTTCAGTACAGAGGCCACCATATATTTTTTTACTTTAAATATTTTTGATCCACAACTGAGTCCACAGATGTGGAACCCACAGATGCAGAAGGCCGACTGTACTCATCTATAAAAGTAAATCAGCACTTGTGACATACAAAATGGCATAAGATTTTAAAGTTTCATGGCATCTTAAACTTTAATAAGCCTATACATACTTTATAATCAAATATATTTTGTTATACTACTAAATCAATTTAGAAGACCCCACTGATGAGAGGAAAAACACCACAATCCTTTTTTTTCCCTAGGAGAGTCTTTATTAACTTCCTACTGAAACTCCTATAGCAGATGATGGTATGTCAAGAAGGTTAATCATTTTTCAAGTGCTACCTGGCACTTCCTTAACCTGCTTACATGAACAAGGACTTAAAGCACAGATGATGATATTGAAAACCTTCAATTCCTTAGTTAAAAAAGCATAAAAAGAAAATGTACAAGTCAATAATGCCTAAACTCCTAATTTAAAAAAAAAATTAAAGAATATTTTTTTCCAGATAAGAATCAATGGCATCTTGACCTGTCACAAGTTGCTGAGGGTCCTAATGTTGACCACCTACAGGACACAGATGCTTGTTATGCCACCCATGTGGACAGTAACTTGACTCTTTCCTTCATCTCAGTTATCACAAAAATAATGTGCGGCATTTTAATTAGCTATCCTCTATACATACTTTAACTCTTTTTGCCATTAAGGCATATGATATTTTTTTAATACCTTAAAGACTATATGATTTGCAATGAGAAAATCCTGTGTAGGGAACTCTTGCTTTTTAATGTAGTAGACTGCGAGGTGCTTCGGTGCAGCAGCAGAGAGTCTTCTATTGTCGTCCTGAGTACCCTGTACAGCCTCACAGGCATCGAGCAGACACTTAAATACTTAGTGATTGATTAGTGGCTGGTAAATCTCCACTGAGAAACTTGACTCCAGGAGTAGGTAGAAAAACAGCAGATAATAAAATCATTAAAACAATGGGTTTCTGCAGATCAATCTCTACAGCTGCAGTGCTATTTAGAGGCTGCTGCTAAAATATAGAGTAAGGAAAGCCTTAGCTGGATGGCTGTTTTCTTCAGGGAAAGATAAAGTAGCGCTCAAGCTTGGCAGCTTATTCCAACCATTATTTTAGAAACTTATAGGGTAATTCCCTATAAACTTTCAATAGTAAGTTACACAGAATGTCCTAGAAAAAGCCTAATTATGTGTCACTTTTAAAAAATAAATGAAATTGCTAGCCAAGCATTATGCACTTAAATGTAATTTAACCCTTATTTTGTCTTTATTATTCAAAATTAAAAGCAGAATCATGGTATGGTATTAAATACAAATAAACAATAACAAAAAACCCTAACCCACTACTCCTCATCTACTCTGAGGTCAAGGCCCCGCAGTTTCTTTTTTTCCTTCTTCTTCTTTTTTTTCTATTTTTTCTTTTCCCTGACTTAGGAAGGACCCCACAGTTTCAAGAGCCATACTGGACACCCCCATGTCAGTATCCTGCAAGCCCCACAAACTCAACACTTCCAAATTTCACTACCCTGTTTTGAAAAATAAAATACAAACCCAGGCCAGACCACCAAGCAGCTTTGACTTCTCCCCAATACACTTTGCACAGTCTGTGAAATGCCTACAGAATCCAGTTCTTTTCTCTCTTTTCCCCACTGCCACTGTCCTGCCTGGGAAGACCCTCATCATTCACTGGCAAGTCAAGGCCCTGCTCTCCCTCACGCTCATGTAATCGGTTCTCAAATCCTAGTGATTACCAACCACATAAACCTTTTGGGAAACAGTGAAATATGTCTAATTCTAACTGTTTATTTCAGTACTTGGTTTTAATGGCCATCATGGCTGAAAAAATATATATCCCAATGCTAAATTAATTGAAATGGAAGAAGTGTTATACTTATTACATCAGGGAACTCATTTTTCAACCCCAACCAACAATTTAGTATTTGTTTTCATTTCCTCAATACTGACGTTTCTTCTAGTCTTGCTTGGTTTTTATTCTATCATTAACTAATATCTCAAAACAGAATATATAGTTAGGCTGGGTTCACAATTTTTAAAAAATTTATATATATATGCATATATCTAAGGGTTATCTTCTCAATAATTTTAAAACATTTTTAGCCAACTTCCTGTCAGGTATCATTACTTGGCTGGTTATAGATTTTATTTTATAATAGGAATGACAAAGAGCTCACATTGGGAGAAGTATCAGCTCTGCTATATTATTTATTCTCAGTGACATTATTAACATCATATTGAAAGAAGATTTTTTTAAAGCCAGTGCCCCTTTGTTTTAAAGAGGGGTTTTTTTGTTTTTTTATTTTGTTTTTTAGATCAGTGTTAGGCTCACAGCAAAAGTGAGAGGAAGGTTTAGAGATTTCCCATACACTTCCTGCCCTGGCACATGCATTTAATTATAGTGTGGTAAATCTACAAAGGAGAACTTGACCTTGTTGGGGATGGGGGGATCAGGGGAGGCCAGAAGAAGTGATTTGGAACAAACTTTTGAAAGATGAATAGAAGTTATCAAGGCAAAGAGAGAACAGAGGCCAGCAGGAACAGCGTGGGCCTTCCCTGTGGTGGAAAGACTGACTAGTTTCAGATGAAAGCCCTGTGCCCAGCACACAAATACCAAAGCAGGTTGTGGACAAGCCCCTGGGCCTTGGTAAGAATGTGAGTCTTCATCCAAAAGGCAGTGAAAAGTCATAAAAAGGGAATAACAAAATCACTTCTAGATGCTCAATAAACAGTGAATGAACAAAAATAAATACCAATAAATGGCAGAAGAGCCACAATTTGATCTTGAAAGGATTTAGCAAAATAACGAAGAAGGTACTCTAGAATTTGTTATTCCACAATAAGAGAAGAGATAACAGTTATAATTCTTACCTTTCCATCAAAGAAATGATGGTTAAACATGTTATAATGGCAAAAACTATCCTCCATATAAAACTGTGAATACCTGCAAAATAATATATTATGGGAGTTACTTGCTCTGTCATAGCTATAAAGTAAATAAAAAATAACAAATTATTTTCCCACGTTTAATAAACCATTAGCAAAATTACAGATACTCATATATAAAATATGCATGTTCCTATGGACCGGAATATTACACATAAACAATCAGGCTACCGCCAGATTATTATGCAATTTGAGTTTGTGATGGGTTGACAATTAAAATACATCTCTCATGGTTAATAACTTTAAGAAAAATACTAAATCAACATTTCTGCTCAACAGCTGTTAATTATTTTCATCTCTAGTTAACAAAAAGAATATTTAATCAAAGGTTTTCTTGCCTAATGCAGATAAGTTTAGTAAAACATGCTTCTCAATATAAAAGAAAAAAAAGTATGTGCATTTCACATTTACTGAATTAGTGCCAGGAAAGAGGGCTATTTATTTACTGATTGAATTATTTTATTTTTCTAACATACTACTTTAAAATGCTATAGCAATGAATCAAAATACCAGCTCTGGGTTTTAACATTTTAGAAGTTTTTCCTAATTTACCAGGCAAAACTCATACCACATTATGATTTAAATTTGTGTTTGATTACTTATAAGACTTAGTTTTCTATATCCCTTAATTGTATTTATACTATCTGTTTTTCTCATTTATGTATAAGGGTTTTAATGTATTTCTTGCTGATTTCTGAGTTTTCCATATAATATATATATCTTTGTTATCTCAATAGGATTTTGCACCTTGACTATTTTATCATAAATAATTCATGTATGAACTGCATCATCTTTCTTAGAAATTCAAAACCTAACAGAAAGACTGAGAAAAAAACAGAGACACACACCCTTACTTATACGACTTCTTGAACCAAATCATGACAGTGGCACTTCTTTGCTTGTGCTTCTACTCTCAGTTGTCTGTTACTATCTATAACTGATTGATCAACCATGGTGAATATTTAATACAATAGACAGCCAGACACGGTGGCACACACCTGTAGTCCCAGATACTCAGGGGCTGAAGCAAGAGGATCACTTAAGCCAGGGAGTTCGAGATCAACCTGGGCAACATAGTGAAACACTGTATTGTTTTTTTTAATTAAAAAAAAAAAATGTAATGGGCACCACATGTTTATCCTCTTCCGATTACACTGTGGTTAAGTGCACAGGCTCTATAGTTAGATGGTCTAGTTTCAACAATGAATCTCTTATTAGCTATACAATCTTAGTAAGTTATTTAACCTTTCTAAGCCTCAGTTTCTACATCTACAAAATGGTAAAAATAATAGTTTCTACCTCATAGGACTTGATAAGAATGAGACAATGTATATAACGTGCTTAATACAATACCACCTATATAGCATATACTAAAATGTTAAGCATTGTTATTTTAATAAATAAAGCTATAAAGATTTATGTCTTAATGCCCCTACTATTAGGGAATTATATTGATGTTCACTGAAATATAATCTAAACCTATTTCTTCTTGTTCTGAAGAGATGAAAGAACAAATCGCTGCTCACCATTCTCAGCACATCTTTTAATATCATTTAAGACACTGTTAACACATCTGATTTCATAAAACATAAATTTATACTGAAGAAACAAACAAAAAGTTTAGATAACTGAAAAAATATTAAAGCATTCCAAAAACTGTGAGGCAATGTCAACTACCATTAAGCAAATATCCTCCTATTTAACTAAATAACTGATTTTAAAATTCAAATAACTGATTTTTTAAAAAGTATATCAATACTAGTACAACCATGAATCAACTATCACTTGAGAGTTTTCTTCTCTTTCACTGCTTTATGAGTATGAGCAAAAGAAAATATAATTCCCTTTAAATTTAATCCTCATTTTTTTCATTGCTTTACAAAGATACAATAGTCATTTTTAAAAGTTAAAAAGGAAAATTTGATTTACATAAAGTTCAGCACAGCATACCTGTCCAACACATTCTGGGCAGCAGTGTACAGAGCCAGACAGAGAAAAAAGCCAAGATTTCAGTTCTAAGTTTCCATCAAACATAAACAAGAGAGCATAATTATTCATATTTTAAATTATGAGAAGCCACTCAACACTGCCCTCTTAAAATGAAATTGGCCACAAAGAATTATTCTCTCCATTGAATAAGGCAAACAAAACCAATCAGAAATGCATGCACTTGAAAACTGCTCAAAAGGACATTCATTTAATTTGGCCATTCATTCTCTTTAAATGAGACTCAGTTACCAAGTGTGAAACATGCTCTACACACAGGAAATGTAATCAAGAGCTGAATAAAATTAGTTCATGAAATGAACCTAAGAAATTCATTTTTTTGACATAACTTTATTTGGATAATAGTTTGCCAAATAGAGTTTCACATCTTTCCTGCTAAAATTAGAGCATATAGAAATCCATCTTAGCAAGTGTTAACTTCATCTTATGCCCCCTAAAAAGGATATTTATAGCACATCTACATAGAACACTGGAGTCTGAGGAGGTTCTGCAGCCTTGGATAGACCTTTTGGAAGGCAACATGAAACCAAAGTCAAAGTGCCAAAAGTAACTATTCATTGCTACTCTACACCACACAGGAATTTTTTTCCTGATGTAATTGTGGTCTTTGAGAAAAATCTGAACCAACCACACCTTCCATCATACTGTGAATACAGGCAACAGCGTAAGCTCATTCTGGCCACTAATGTGTTTCAATAAACCAGTTCTCTCTCAACATCTAATGTTAACCTTAGACAACTGACTCAGTAACAGATTACATTATCAAAGAAACTAAGCTAGGACATCTCCAATAGAATACCATCAGTTTTTGTTTGCAATGCACACACAGAAGTTTACAGACATGAAAAGAAAATAAGTATCAATATACTCTATAAGTCATAAAATATCTACATCCCCTACCCCCTACTGTGACCAGGAGACTTCAATTACAGGTGCAAGAAAGGAAAAACCAAAAGGCATGGCATTATAGGCAAAGCAGTTCAAAGATCATATAAATCTTTCAAATTAAAAGTAAATCCAGCAAGAGGAAGAGTTCTGGAGATTAGTTACAAACAATGTGAATGTACTTAACATCTCTGAACTGTATACTTAAAAATGGCTATGATAGTAAATGTTATATGTACAGTGGACCCTTGAACAACACAAGAGTTAGGGGCACCAACACCCCCCCCACACAGTAAAAAATCCAAGTAGAACTTTTCACTTTCTAAAAACTACTAATAACCTACTGATGTGGAAGCCTCATAGATAACATAATCAATCAATTAACACATATTTTTGTATTATATACTGTTTCACATATACTGTTTAACACATATTTTGTATTATATACTGTTTTCTTACAATACAGTTAGCTAGAGAAAAGAAAATGTTACTAAGAAAATTATATGGAAGAATGGGCATTTATTGAAACCTTAAAATCTGTACCCCCATAATATGCCAAAATAAAAAAAAAATTGTATGGAAGAGAAAATGTATTTATTATTCATCAAAGTGGATCATTATAAAAGTCTTCATATTCGTTATCTTCACACTGAGTAGACAGAAGAAGATGAGGAAGAGGAGGGGTTGGTCTTGTTGTCTCAGGGGTGCAGAGACAGAAGAAAATCCGCTTATAAGTGGACCCTCACAGTCCAAACCCATGTTGTTCAAGGGTCAACTGTAGTTTTGCACAATATTTTAAAAGTAAGTGAGGGCACTAGCAATAAACACCATAAGATGAAATTAAGGGGCGGGGCGAGGTGGCTCACGCCTATAATCCTAGCACTCTGGGAGGCCAAAGCGGGTGGATAGCTCAAGGTCAGGAGTTTAAAATGCCATTTCATTTGTAATGGCATCAAAAAGAATAAAACATTTTAGAAATAAATTTAACAAAAGTAGTACAAGACTTATATACTGAAAACTACACAATTGTTTAAAGAAACCGTAAATAAGTGAAAAGACATCTCATGTTCATGGACTGGAAAACTTAATATTAAGATGGCAATACTCCTCAAATTGATCTACAAATTCAGTGCAATCCCTATAAAAATCCCAGCTGGCATTTTTATAGAAATTGACAAGCTGGTCCTAACATTCATATGGAAATGAAAGACACCCAGAATAGCCAAAACAATCTTGCAAAAAAGAACAAAATAGGAAGATTCACTTCCTGATTTCAAAATTTACTATAAAGCAATAGTAATCAAGACTGTTTGAGACTGGCATAAGGACAAAGATCAACACAATAGAATTTAGAGTCCAGAAATAAATCCGTACATTTATGATTTGGTTTTCAATAGAGTACCAAGACAATTCAATGGGATAGAATAGTCTTTTTTTAATTTTTTTATTTCATGAAATTATGGGGGTAAAAATATTTTGGTTATATGTTATGAGTATGCCAGATCCTAACCATGATTTGAGACGTGCCCTTTCCCCTCCTACAACGATCACCGCATCCATTAGTTGTGAGTTTACCCACCCCGAGCCTCCCTACCCCCAAAGAATATAACGATGTGAGTCTTTTCAATAAATGGTGCTGGGGCAACTGGGTATCCATATGCAAATGAAATTGGACCCCTATCACATACAATATAAAAAAATTAGCTCAAAATAGATCAAAGACTTAAATGTAAGAACAAAAATTATAAAACTCTTAGATGAAAATAGGTACTCATGACCTTGGATTAGGCAAGAGGTTTTTTTAGATATGACACCTAAAATACAAGCAACTAAGGAAAAAAGAGAAAAATTGGACTTCATCAAAAGTGAAAAAACAACCCATGGAATGGGAGAAAATATCTGCAAATCATATATCTAATAAGAGTCTAGTATCCAGAGTATATTAAGAACTCTCTCAATTCAACAATAAAAATACAAATAACCAATTAAAAAATGAGCAAAGGTTTGAATAGACATTTTTCCAAATGCGGTATTTTGTTAGTGCAGCCCTAGCAAACTAACGTAATATCCAAGAGAGCTGAAACCTATGTTCACATGAAACCTATGTTCACATAGGTTCATGTGAAACCTATGTTCACATGAAATTTATATACAAATGGTCATGGCAGCATTATTCATAATAGCCAAAAACTAGAAGCTATAAATGAATAAGGGACAGGATATTCAGCCATAAAACAGAAGGACTGATACATGCTAAAACATGAATGAACCCTGAAAACATTATGCTAAGTGAAAGAAGTCAGACACAAAAAGCCACATATGATTCCACTTATATAAAACATCCAGAATAGGTACCTCCATAAAGACAGAAAGTAGATTTGGGGTTGCCAAAGGCTGCAGGTAGAGAAAATGGGGAGCAACTGCTCATTGGGAGAGTGTTTCTTTCAAAGGTGATGAAAATATTCTGGAATTAGATAGTGACAGTGGTTGCACAACCTTGTGAATACACTAAAAATTGCTGTTTTATGTATGTAAAATATATCTTAGCTTTTTTAAAATGCCTAAAATATAGCAAGTGGGGAAAAAAAGACTACATGTTATGTCTACTTTTGATAATGTTTATATCATAAAAAGGTTTTAAAAAGTCAAATCCATGTCTTGGATAGCAAAATTAAAGATCACTATTCCTTTAAAAAAAAAAGTAAACCAGGGATCCTTGCAATTTGAACAAGTTCTTTGAGAAGACACACTATGATCTTTTGTCTAGTTTCTTTCTGTATAAATCAATCTACCACAACTAGCTTGAAAAAAAGCTTATCTTTAATGAAATCAAAATCTTTATATAACTTTTAATATAAATTCAAAGTACTATTGGAAAGATAACACTGTACAGCTTTCACTGAAGTAAAAGTCCCAAAGGTAGGAATTTGAGTGCTGGTGACAACCGTATATTTTGTCTTGAATAATTCAGTTACAGACATCTAATATTTTGTCTTTCCACCACCAATATCCCCATTCTTTAAGTCAAGTACCTATTTTCCTGGGGAGAACCCACTCCATGTGGTTGGTCAGGGGCTAGCCAGAGCACCCTGTCAGGCCACAGTGATAGTTCTGTAATAAGCATGTGACCCCAGCCAAGATAATCAGAGCACTCTCTGGAGTTTTGCTGTTGGAGCTCTCAGGAAAGACTACCACTTTCCATTGGGCAGTTAAGCTAAGACTATATGTAAGTTTATTTATTTATTTATTTATTTTTTGAGACAGAGTCTCACTCTGTTGTCCTGGCTGGAGTGCCATGGCATCAGCCTAGCTCACAGCAACCTCAAAGTCCTGGGCTCAAGCAATCCTTCTACCTCAGCCTCCCAAGTAGCTGGGACTACAGGCACGTGCCACCATGCCCAGCTAATTTTTTCTATATATTTTTAGTTGGCCAATTAATTTCTTTCTATTTTTAGTAGAGACAGGATCTCGCTCTTGCTCAGGCTGGTTTCAAACTCCTGACCTTGAGTGATCCTCCCACCTCAGCCTCCCAGAGTGTTAGGATTACAGGCGTGAGCCACCGCGCCCAGCCTTATATGTAAGTTTAAATCTGCTGCCACCAAAGTCCCTGGCAATACGAAGGAAACTGTCTATAGAACATAGTCAATATACAAAAAAGACGGAATGAGAGATAAAAAAAGATGGAGCCCTAATAACATTGTGTGAGCCCCTTGATCTCAACTGAACTAAAGCCTACTATATCCTAGACTCCAGTAATGTGAACCAATAAATTCTTTTACATGAATGGATTTCTGAGACATCAGTGAAAGATTCCTAATTTGAGTGCTTTATTCTAAATATACAAATAACCTAGTAACCAGTTATTGATGCATTTGTAAACCTTTGTGGAACAAAGGGGGATAGAGGGAGAAATGGAAAGATAGAAAGAAGGATGACAAGAGAGAAACGGACTATATAAGAAAGGCTTATATACAAGTTCAAAAGCAAAGTTCTTTCCAAAGGATAATTTAATTTTTGGAGCCAGAATGCCTGGGTTTGAGTTCTGGCTTGGCCACTTATAAACTGTGACTTTGGTCTAGTTATTTAAGCTCTTTGCAACTCAGTTTTCTCATTGGAAAATGAGGATGATAATAGCATCTATCTTAGAGGGCAACTGGGGCAATTGTGAGGAATGATTCAGAACAAGGCCTGACATGTGACAGACACTCAACAAATACCAGCTCTTATTAATACTGACATTATAAGAACCCAAAAGTTAAACATCTACCTTAAAATAATGCACTCATAATAATTTAACAATACTTTAGGAAAGGAACACAGAATTTAAGAAAAGAATTTGATATATCTATGCATATCCATATAATGGAACATTATAGAGCCATACGAGGAATGAAGCACCATTACATATGTGATGACATGAATGAAAATATGATGCTGAAAGAAGCCAGACACAAAGGTCACATATTGCATGATTCCATTTATATGGAATGTCCAGAATAGCCAAATCCATGTAGACGAAAGTGTTTGTCAGGGGAAATGAATATGGAGTTTCTTTTCAGTGTGATGGAAATGTTCTAGAAGTACATAGTGGTGATTGATGGTTGCATAATATAATGAATATATACCCCAAAACATGGAAATATACCCTTTAATATTATGTGAATTATGTCTCAATTACAAAAATAAACTGAGTTTATCTTTAAAAAGTCTATATAATCACTCATGCCAAGCAGATGTTAGTAAATTGTGCTAGTTCTGTTAATAAGGGCTGAGTGGTTAACAGGTTAGTCCTGTTGATAAGGAATGAGATGTGTAGGTCATTTCTGACTAATGCAGTTGCTTATATCAGACAACTTAAAGTTGACTTGGAAATCTAAAGAAAAATAAATCATATAAAAGCTATACTTTTTAATGTGACATTTTACACTTTAAAAATCTGTCTGGCTTGTTTTTAGGGAGCAAAAGCATATTTAATTCCATAGTCTGTCTCTAAGAAATACTGGAATATTGGCCAAACAGACTCTGTTAGCTCTTAAAAAAAAAAAAAAAAAACACAAAACCTGATTCCTTTAATACAGTCAAGAACAAAGAAAAGATACTAACAACAGAGACAGTAGCTTATAAATTCACCATGAACTCCTGGAATTCACACAGTCATAGAAATTGGAAAGAACACTTCAAATCTACAGAATTATAGAGACAATGAATGGACATATCTGCCATCCCTATTATAAATCCTAAACTACCACCAGAAGGGAGATTCAAGGTATGTTCCTCACTCGGTCTCATCGTGTTTGTCCCAACACATCAGATGCTATTTAATTCTGACCCCCTCCCACATTGCCTATCTGTTGGCTAATGCTCTGCCTTGAGTCCTGTCTCTTCCCTAGTTAATAATCCCTTCACTTGAGGCTATGTGCAGTGAAAGACAATATGCACATCACTTGGTAAAATATATTAAAAGAAATGTCTTATCACACTTCAAAGATCTGATGAGGAAACAAAATGCCGAAAATCTGATTAAGTATGAGGCAGTTCAGAATCATCTTTGAACATAATAAATGTGAAGAAACTTCACTCAACAGGAATTCATCTCTGAGTTTTAGCCAAAGACAATTAGACACATTCATGGAGAAAATGCAGGAAGCACACTAAGAAAAGGGGAACTCAACTGCCTCCCTGTTTGAAATACATAAGATTGCAAACTGAAATTATAGGACTAAATAGGCGCCTCATAACCAATTACTACTTCTAAATGTAAAAGAGTCGTAACAAATTACAATTAAAAAGAGAAAAACATTCAAAAGAAACAGGAGACAATAAAGGGGAATACATATTATACTTTGTAAACCTACCGAAAATCAATATCCAGTAAAAGGCTTTTAATATTAGACTTCTTGTCACCTGATGCTGTCAACATGATCAGCTCATGCAACCTAAAGCAATTAGTAAAAGCAAATTTAGTAAGAAACTACAAATGTCATAGACAATAAGCAAAACATACAACAAAACCCATCAATGTTCTTCTGATATTTCTGATTATTTCAATGAAACACTGAGGAAAATGTGGCAGGTATAACCAAGTTTTCAGTTTTGCAAATATTTGTTAAGGAGCAGAATTTATCTGAAACAGAGAAGTTTAAAATTATAAATAAGTTAGGAGTCAAATCAGAAAGAATCTCCCATCATATATCAGAAAGAAATCTACAAAGATTTCTCTCCATTGGAATACAGGTTGCAAACTACTTAAGAGAGGGACCATTCTTTACACTTTCTTTGAATGCTCAAAGCTTTATGCTGTACTTCGCACAGAGTAAATAACTACTTGATAAAAATCTTACAATTTCTAAAGTGGCGATAAAAGTATTTTTTAAAAAAATCATATAGCATACCTTGGTGTTCCAACACACAGTACTCTTCTGAATCCAAGGGCAGAAAGTAGGTCTACCAAGAACTGACAGCTCCTGTCAGCAAACAAATACTGGGCATTTGCTTTCTTGTTTTCCAGTGGATAAAGGAGTTGACTGGGCCTTCGTAACTGGGTGATAGAAATATCCCCCATGACCTGATGCTCACGATGCCTCCCCCATTCATCTGGTAATAGCAACTGCTGACACCTTTGACAAAACTTCCTCTGAGTCAAGGGCAACTCAATAAACTTCAAGTACCTTCAAGACACAATAAAACACAAAGTAATATTTTAAATTTATTGTTTTAAAGACAATGTATTTTTGCTATTTTCACTATCCAAAAAGTATTCTTATTTCTTAAAGAGTATTGTATAAAAAAGAAAGGTAAGAAAAATCTGTGGCATGTCGGCTAGAATTTATATCTGGCTGCATATCTACAAAGTTGAAAAGAATCAGCAATTTAATAAGAATTGAGACGCTCCAATTTAGTCACTGAATGAAGATCAATATCCATTTAAAATGTGAATATAATATATTACTCAAACAACTTAGTAGTAATGACAACTACTATCAAGTTTAAATTTATTGACAAATCCATGTGTTCCAACTTTGAAATGTTAAACAGTCTGGCTCAGTTGACAGTCATTTTAAAATGAGAAATTAAGATCGTTCTTCAAGTTCTTATGGCATACTTAACAAGAAAAATTATCTCCTAAAAGAAAAGATGTTCCTACAAAGCTCTTCTGTTCTTAGTATTACTGACAGAAGCAGTTATAAGCTTACCCCCAAAACAGAAAGACAATATTCAAAGCCTTAAAAAAAGACCATATTGGACCTCCCATTTCATCTCTTTCAGGTCACCCTTATATCTGATTTAAAGCCACCATTTCTTTTTTTTTTTTTCTTTTTAAATTTTATTGGAGATCATTGTCAGTATGTCTTAAAAACTGATTTTGTATATGTGATACCAGCTATGAAATCAGAGTAAAAAACAAAAGAAAAATAAATAAGATTATTGAGAACCACAGAGAGTCAGAAATGTCTAAATGTAAGCATGTTACATAGCACACTAAAGGATTTTAGTTTGAGAAGAGTCATATAGTTGCCATGGAACTAAATTTGGGAAATGCAGGGTAAAAACTGTGAACTTAACATGTAATCAAAGTCAGTATTAAAACTTTTTATATCTAAGCACAGTCTTACTTCAAAGCACCCAAGGCAGTGACAAATAGATATTCTGAATGGCTACAGCACGAAATAAGCTATCGTGCCAGTAATTTAAATGTTTCTATTTCTATGATAACTGTTCTTTTGACAGCTTTATCTATAACTAAAAGGAAAAACGAGATAGAGGGATGTTAGAAGAAACTTCTTAGTAATTTAAAGTAGAAATGTCAGTAGAGGAAAGGGCCCCTATGAAATGAAACGCAAGTGAAAAGAACCAACAGACACTCTTCAGCAGCAAACACTGAATTTACTACTATTACCTTTCATCACGGAACATCAAGTGTTGACAATTTCCATGTCCAACCATGATAGAGTAACAGGGATTTGCCATTCTAGCCCTTAAAACAATTTTTAAACAGACAAAATATATGAAACAATAGTTTTCAGATATTAGACAACTGGCAGCCCAACAGTGAACCCTGAGGGAAGGGAACAGATGAAGTGAGTTGTGCAACTAGCCAGCTTACCGCCTGTGGAGAGCTGGCCGCTCGGAGCTGGAGAGTCAAACAGAGCTCAAGGAGCTGACGAGACACAGTGGAGAATTTGGGGAGGTGAAGGCATCTCAAATTAACAGGAAGGGTACTGGAGAATATACTTGGAGTACAGGGACAGCAGAAAGCTTTACGCTGAGATAAAGAGAGAGAGAGATGGATCTCCAAAACTGGCTGGTGACTCTCCTGAAACCTTCAGCTGAGTACTGATCAGCATACGCATGAAGAAACCACCACGATGAGGGAAAGAACCACTGGAAAGCAGCAGGTGGAATCACCGCTGGAATACACACCCAGGGCCCAGGCTGGTTTGTCCACTGACAAGCCAGAGTGGAAAAGCCACTCTATACATGAGCATCAAGGAAAGTACTCAGAAGAGCACTGCCTCAGTAGTGCAGAAAAACTAGTCCTGGAATAAAGGGTGATCTTTCCTGCCTAAAAAGCTTAAAGACAAGCCTCCAAAAGCAGGGAAATAAGCACACTGCTTCTGTAAAGATCAGATAAATATTTTGAGTTTGGATGGCCATAAAGTCTCTCTATCACATTTATTCTATTATTATAGCACACAAACAACCACAAACCACATGTAAATGAATAGGCATGGCCAAAATTGGCCTAAAGGCTGCGGTTTGCCAAATCCTGCTCAGGAATATCAAACTATAGCTAGTAACTTAATTGTGTCCCAAAGCAAAGCTCAAAAAATGTGTAAAGGAATTAAAAATATACAGTATACAACAAGGTAAAATTCACACTGCCAGCATCTAATCAAATATTACCAGGTATGAAAAGAAACAGGAAAACATGAACCCATGATTAGGAAAAAATGAATCAATCCAAACCTACCCAGAAATGAAAGATGATACAATTAATAGCAACATTAAAGTCACTTACTATATATTCCCCATGTTCAAAAAGGTAGAGAAAAACATAAGCCTATTAAACAAAGACATGGAAAATATAAAAAAGATGCAAATCTAACCTATAAAGATTTTTTAAAATTGTATAACATACAAAACACCCTAGATGGGATTAACAGCAATTCAGGAACTACAGAGAAAAGATTGGTAAACTTGAAGACACAGTCTTAGAAACTACCCAAAATGAAACACTAAATATATGTAACTGAAGCCCCCAAAATGGGGTGGGGGAAGAAAAAAGTTCAAAGTATAATGAATGAAAATTTTCAAAATTACATAAAAGATCCAAGATGCTCAGAGAACCACAAACACAAGAAACATGAAGGAAAACTATAAAACACATCATAATTATTTAAGATCAATGATAAAGAGAAAGTCTTAAAAGAAACCAGGGGGAAAAAGACACATGTACAGAGGAACAAAGATAAGACTAACATCAGGCTTCTCACTGAAAACAATGCAAGCGAGAAAACAATGGAGCAATAGCAACTCTATACAAATTCTTCTAGAAAACTGAAGAGATGGGGACACTTCCTGGTTCATTTCATGAGGCCAGCATTACCCCAATACCAAAACCAGGAAAAAAAATTACAAGAAAACTACAGACCAATATACCTCATGAACACAAACTCAAATATTATTAACAAAATTAAATGAAATCCAGCAATATATAAAAAAGCATGACCAAGTATAATTTTTCCCAGGAATGCAAGATTGTTTTAACATTTGAATTCAATCAATGCAATTTACCACATTAACAGTCTAAAAAAAAGATCTGATTAGAAGCAGAAAAAAGCCCTTTTAACATCCACTGATGGGAAAGATTCTCAGAAAACCAGGAACAGAAGGGAACTTCTACAACCTGATAATAGGCATCAAAGAAAAACCTATTGTCAACATGATACTGATGAATGACTGAATGTATTCCCCCTAAAATTGCGACAAAGTAAGGATGTCTACGCTTACCCTTTCTACTCAGCGTTGACGAGGGTTGATAGCCAGTTTAATAAGACAAGATAAACAAATAAAAGGCAGAGATTAGAACGGAAACATTAAAACTTCTTTATTCACATGATCAGATATATACAAAGTCCTACAGAAATTTTCAAAAAAAAAAAAAAAAGCTGCTAGAACTAATAAGTAAGCTTATCAAGGTTGCAGAGTAAACGATCAATTTACAAAATCAACTTTGTTGTTATAGACTAGCAACAGACAACCCGAAACTGAAATTCAAAAACACAACTATTTAAAACAGCATTAAAATATGTGAAATACTTAGGGATACATCTGACAAAATATGTGCAACCCCAGAACACTGAAAATTACAAAACATCATAGAGAAAAACTAAAGATTATTTAATAACTGAAAAGATAAGCCCTGGTCATGGATTAGAAAACTCAATATTATTAAGATGTCAACTCTCCTCAAATTTATCTATAAAATCAACACAATCTCAATCAAAATCCGAGCCATTTTGTAGAAACTGAAAAACTCATTCTAAAATTCATATGAAAATGAAAAGAATGTAGAATAGCCAAAACTACTATTGCAGGCTGAATAATGCCCTTTCCCTCTCCACCTCCCGCCAAAGATGCCTATGTCCTAACATGAAGCCTGTGAATATGTTGCTATCTTATAAAAACCAAAGAGACTTCAAAGCTGTGATTAAGTTAAGGCTCTTGAGATGCAGTGACAAGAAATGTAGGCAGCTTCTACACACCAGAAAAAGCAAGGAAAATTCTCCTCTCAGAATATTCAGAAAGATACAGCCCTGCCAACAGCTTGACTTAAACTGTGGGGGCGCCTCGATGGCCCTTCGGCAGCGTCTCAGTGGCACAACAAGAAAGGAATTTCCCCCCCCTTCGTGTGAAGTAGGGTGAGGCAATTAGCGAACAGCACACATCTGTTTATACTCATACCTCCGGTTATCTCTTGGGTTGTGAAGAAAGGCAAAAGGGAGGTGGGATGCACAGGGATCGCGCAGAATTCAAAGAAAATTAATCACTTCAAAGGTCAGCTCATGGCCAGCGCGAAATTAGTTTGTGCCTTGCTAGGGCCCTTTGGGGGGGGATAAAAGGCACCCCGCAATTCAGGTCGGGGGTCCTTGCCCAAGGAGAGCGACCACTGCGTTGGGGCTCGAGGGCTCGGACCCTGGCTAGCCAGAAAATAAACCTCCTCTTGTGTGATTGCATCCTCGATGTCTCTGCTTTTCTGTCCGGTGGGGCTGTGGAGGGTCGGTCCCTAACAAAACCTAGTGAGACTGATTTGAACTTTGGACCTCCAGAACTATAAAAGAATAAATCTGTGTTGTTTTAAACCACTAAGTTTGTGGTAATTTGTTAGAGCAGCAGCAGAAAACTAATGTAGGTGCCAAATCAATTCAATGGGGAAAGGACAATATTTTCAACAAATGGTGCTGGAAAAGTTTGAAAGCCATATGCAAAGCAATGAAGCTCAACCCTTACCTCACTTCATATTAAAAAACTAACCCCAAATGGATCATAGACCTAAGTTTAAAAACTAAAAGTTTAAAACTTCTAGAAGAAAACATAGCAGAAAATGATGACGACTAGATTTGGCAAAGATTTCTTAAACAGAACTTGAGCAAAAAATATAAAAGAAAAAGAATTAAAAAATTGGACTTCAAGACCTAAACTTTTTTCTTCAAAAGATACTCTTATCATAAGCAACAAAAGAAAAGATAAATAAATCGGATTTAATCAAGATTTAAAACTTCTGTGCAGCAAAGGACACCATCACAAAAGTGAGAAGACAACCTAAAAATGGGAGAAAATATTTGCAAATTATACATCAGATAAAGGAATTGTATCCACAATTTAAGGAACTCTCACAACTCAACAATAAAAAGACAATTAGCCCAATTAAAAGACAGCACAGGAAATGAATTGACTGGTCTCCAAAGATAATACACAAATAGTCAATAAGCACATGAAAAGATCCTCAACATCATAAATACAAATTAAAACCATAATGAAATATCATTTCACAACTATTATTAAAAAGACAGATAGTAACAAGTGTAAGTGGAAGACGGGGAGAAATTGGAATCTTCATACATAGCTGGTGGAATGTAAAATGGTGCAGCCACTTTGGAAAAGTTTGGCAGTTTTGTCAAAAGTTAAGCATATACCCACTATATAATTCAGCCATTATACTCCCAGGTATTTACCCAAGAGAAACAAAAGCATGTATCCATACAAAGACTTACACATAAATGTTCATAATAGCTTTATCTGTAAGAGTCAATAAGTGGAGGAAACCTAAATATGTACAACAGGTGAATGGATTTGTCCATACAGTGGAATACTATCTGGGAATAAAGGAATGAACAATTGACAAACACATCAACATGGATAAGTATCAAAAATATTTACACTAAGTAAATGTATGCACCTCCCCCAACAAACTAGAGCATACTGTAAGATTCCATAAAACTTCTAGAAAATGCAAACTAATCTATAGCAATAGAAAGCAGATCAGTGGTTGTGTGGGGACCCTGGGGGTAGAGGGCTATAGGACAAAGGGGCAGGAGGAAACTTTTAGGGGTAATGGTCATATTCATTATCTTGTCTGTGGTTAAGGTTTCACGGGTAGATGCATATGTCAAAATTCATTGGATGGTACATTTTAAACCTGTGTAATTTATTGTATGTAAAATATTGTACCTTGGTAAAGCTGAAAATAAGAAAAAAAAAGTTAATTTTCCCCTAACAATCCACAGATCACTAGGGTGACCATACATCCCTGGATGCCCAGGACAATCCCAGTTTACATCTACCATCCTAAAGTTCCATTTGGTTAGTGCCCCTTTCACTCTCAAAAAGTGTCCGTAAAAAATAAAGTGTCCAAATTTGGATTAAAATTATATAGTCACCATATATATAACCCCCATCATACTGTAAAACTTGAATCAAATTCAAAAAGTGCTGTGTCACAAAGAATAATGATTTCAATGAACTAAAACACCAAATTTTTAAAATACATGTTTCCACAGTGATATTAAAGACAACAGAACAATGATCCTGATTAATCAACTTTGGAAGTTGCTGGAGTACCAAATCATTACTCTAAAAACTGTTGTACAAGGACAGGAGGAGAAAAATGAAACATATATCTTGTCTTTCCCACATGAACTGTAATGAGGTAAGTCAACAGTTGATGAAACAAAGTCCTTTCTTACAGAAGAACATAGCTAATGAATGCATAAACAATGACAAGATTCTGTAACCCTTTACAACCTCTAGGCAATGATCATCAATTACTGCTAAACATCATCAGACAAAAGGCTGATAGGGAACTTTATTAACAGATGGTTTAGGCTGGCTAATAGCTGAACACATGATCGATCTCAACAAGTGAACAAGCAGACATTATCTGTCTTTTGATGTGATACAGGAGGAAGTACACCCATCAGACAGGAAGGTAAATTCTATAAGAATTAGCCAAGAGCTGACCATACTGCCTCTGGGGAGGAGAAAATACAGAGGTAGAAAACAGGAGTGGTGGCTGTTCTTTGTAAAACCTCAAAACCACATGTAGTTATTTTTTAATGAGATATAATTCACATACCATTCACCCTTTTAAAGTATACAATTCAGTGTTTTTTAGTACATTCACAAAATTATGCAACCATCACCAGAATCTAATTCCAGGATATTGTCATCACCTCAAAAAGAAACCTTGTAGCTGTCAGCAGTTATTCCCATTTCCCCACCCCTCGCCCCAGCCTCTCGCAAAACCACTACCCTTTTTTGTATCTCTACAGACTTGCCTACTGTGGACACTAGAATCACACAATAGCCACATACACATTTTGATTAAATTTTTTTGATTAATTAAAGCCTTTTGTTTAAAAAATAAAAACTGCCAAAGGATGAATTTCAGCCAAATAAGACATAAGAAGCCATTGCAGGCCAGGAAAGGTGGCTCGCACCTATAACCCTAGCGCCCTGGGAGGCTGAGGCAAAAGGTTTGCTTGAGCTCAGGAGTTTGAGACCAGCCTGAGCAAAAGCTGAGAACACGTCTCTACTAAAAATAGAAAAATTAGCCAGGCGTGATGGCGCCTGCCTGTAATCCCAGCTATTAGCGAGGCTGAGGCAGGAGAATCACTTGAGCCCAGGACTTTGAGGTTGCTGTGAACTAGGCTGACCCCACAACACTCTAGCCCAGGTGACAGAGCGAGACTCCATCTCAAAAAAAAGAAAGAAAAAAGAAACCACTGGAAAGGGGCTGTCAGTGAGCACTGAATCCATTTAACCACAGGAGGAAAACAGAAACAAATGTGGGGAGTATAGCACACAATAGTTACAGTACAAAATACAATTAAGACAAATCCATACAAAAGGAGAAGGGAAAGAAGAGAGGGTGGGAGAGGGTGTGAGCATACTGATTTTGTCATTTTTTACAGGCATGAGCCTAAACATAGAATTGAATAAGATATAACTGAAACTCAAGTAAAAGAGCTATAAGCAATATTCAAAGGCATAAAAGTTAACACTGTAAAATAAATAATCAACTAAAGCCAGACAGTGATTGTAGAAAAAGAAAGAGATAGAAAGAAGAAATATACTAAATTCATCTCATTTTTTAGGTGGATGAAAACATCTCATTTTTTAGGTGGATGAAAACAACAACAACAAAAAAGATTAAATATAGTCTGGAAAGTTCATCAAAGAAACACACATTAAAAAAAGAAAACACAGACAATACAGTGAAAGAGAACAAAAAGAAGCAATAAAAAGCAGAAAACATAAAATATTACAGCAAACTAAGAGCAAGCATTCTCTTGTATCAACAATAAAAATGGGCTAAATTCACCCACTAAAAGGAAGTCTGTCAGACTGGATCACAAAGCAAAATCCAACCATCCTATTTCATCACTTCTAAGATGCATGTTTTTTTCACCTTTTAGCATCTTGCAATATTGAGAAATGATTAATAACTGCCATCAGCCAGATGTCATGACATAGTGCAGACCTCCTGAAAATGTGGTCCTAGCTCTAGACACGGCCATGTCTTCAAGCCAGTGCTATGCACTGCTGAACTACAGAGGAGAGCTAACTGCCATCACCCTATGATTCAGTACCAAAACACACACCGTACATGCAGGCAGGCACCAAAACAGAGCAATGGCATACATTTGATATTAGAGAAGTAAATAAATACTCCTTGTTGAAAGAATGATGACAACAATCAAGAGCTTTAGAGAACCAAAGAAAGGAAGATCCCACAAGTAGATGAAGTAGTATCAGGTTTTGTTATTCAAACATGGTCAAAAAGACTACCTATCCTACCCTGAGTGATGCCAGGTGAAGGCAGAAGCTGCAAAGTCACTAGGAAGGGAGGAGAGAAGTTCAAAGCAATGAGGGGCTGATGTGATGATTCACTCACCATAAGGAACTAAGTTTAATCATCTTTAAAAGGAAAAGGCGAACACTCCTAAAGGAACCTCCACTTACATGATATATCTCTGTGTCTTGTCAATTAACTCTTTCCTCTTTAACTATTTCCAAAAGCTTCAGAAAGCTTTATTGCTAATTTGTTAACCTCTTTTTGACAAGACATAAACAGATCTTGTGCATACTTCCCTCTATTCAAACTCACAGCATAACCATCAACTACACTTGCCTTAAACTTAACATTCAGACACAAGGCTTTTTAAAAGGTTGGTAGAAAGAACAGGAGAATATGAAGCCCTAAAGATTACTCAGCGCTCCCTCCTTATTCGCATATACTACACATACCCTGGGGTGAGAGGAAATTCATTCTGCTGCATGGCTCAGCGTGATTCACAAACTGCAGGCCAGCATTTTGAAATGTCATTTTTATTGATCTCCATTTGAAGTTCCATTTGCCTTTCCTGTAGTACACAAATTATGTTTATGGCATTTCTCTAATAGCAGACCTTGAAAATCTAAGTTTAAATGAGCTCTGAAAAAAAATAACCAAATGAAATATCAACTAAACAAAACTATCTGGATGCACATAAATTAATACTGATTTTAGCATTCAAATATATCTTCCCTAAGACTTCATGGGTCACAATAAGGGTGCAAACATACTACATAACAAACATAACAACACATTTCAGAGTATAACAGGCAGCTAAAAACTATAAGGAAAAGCAAATCTCAGGCAAATGTAAATCTGTCAACTGAACACATATGAAATCATACAGCATGGGTCAAAGAGTAGGATTAGACAAATGAATATCAAATCCTATTCTGTAAACTTAGAAATTTGCGACACACTGCCAGTCCCATAATAAAAATCAGGTAACAAAAGTCAATTTATCTGGCTACCTACTACCATTCCTTTCTAACGATTTCAAAAATAAATTTATCAATGAAAACGTCTTGTTACTCCACAATAACAGATGAAAAGCTTTATAGAATAGGTATAAAGTTTAAATGCAGTTTAATCCTTTCAAATGCAATAGTTACTTAATAAGCTAACTTATAAATGAGTTGTTTAAATTATACACATTAGAAAACAATTACAATCTCAAGTAATAGTATAACATCCTTAGGTCTATTTACACACAAGAATGAACTGCCAGCTCAAGGTGAAGACACACTAAGTGAACAGGTGATTTATTAAGTCTTTCATTTTAAAAAGCCAAAATTTTCACTGGACTCTTTATCTTAAGGCACTGAAAACTTTTAGAGGAATGACTGATTTCAAAGTTTTTACTCCATAGAAAGCATATAATAAAGCATAGGAGCATCAATTACAACATAATGCAGTGAAATCAGTGACAGTACATTTCAAAAAGCTTAAATTTCTACCCATCTTACAAAACCTGTTTGAATACCATGTCCTTACATTGGTCAGCTAAGGCACATGTTAGCATTAGTCCTAATGCTTCTGAGCACTTAGTCTTTTCTATGACTACTGTCAACATGCAACATATTTTCTTTATACTGTATAATCTTTATATGTATCTCAACTCAATTACTAGCACTTTAAGTTCTTTTTGAGCCCTCAACAAATACCTGCAGTATGAATGAATGATTGGAGGGATGGATGGTTGGATGGAGGCTTTTGGCAACAAAATTCAAGATTATGGGTCACAGATGGTGTAAGATGTTGAAAATCATTTTATTAAGACATGCTTTCAAGAATCAGCACCATATAAAAGATGAAATTATGACCTCCAAGAAAGAACCTTTTGGAAGTTCTTTAATACTTCATATTTTAGCTAGTTTTTATGTTCTAATTAATATGAAATATGAATTTCAAAAACTATTATCAAAAAACCATACTCTGGCAGTACAAAGACAAGAATAGTGGTTTAGCTCCAGATTAAAATTTTATTATGCAGGGAAACAAGATTACCTAGATTTTCTTACAGAGTTTAATTGAATCACCATATCCTTATGTAGTAACATGAGAAATGTGCTTATCAGATAAAAGTGATATGGGTAGAATACAAAACTGTGTACACATTATGACTACAAACAAATCTGGCATGGGCATAGGAAAAAAGGCCATGAGGAAATACTACAAAATCAAGAATGTGATGAATTCAAAGGAAGAAACCATGGGCAATGTTTTTCTACTTTCTGCATCTTCAGTATACTATCTTCTCATGATAAATCTCTATATAAGTCCTTACCTCTCATCTACTTAAATCACTACACATCATATATTAATTACCATCTGTTTATATATATTTAAAAATAACCTTTTCAAATCAGAGAGACATAAGTTTGAGTCACAGCTCAGTCATTCTCATAGTATAAACTACTTGATGAAGTTATTTAACTTCTACAAGCCTCAATTTCTCAAATAAGTAAACAACCTCTGCAGGACTAAATAATATCGCATGTAAAAAATCTAGGACAGTGCCTACCTCACAGAAGAGCTCATTTATATTAATTCTCTTTTCAACATTTTTTGTTGATTCAATTTCCATACAATAAATAAGTAAAGTAGACATCTCTCGTTAAGCACTGTAATTAAGAAGCAATCAAGTTATCCTGAGAAATTCCTCTTCCCTTAAAGGACTTTAAAATTTACTACCAGAAAGCTCAGGGAAGATATTTTTAGTAGATCACAGTATTCCTTTCCCTGTAGTCTTGATGAGGCCTCGCAATACTTCTGAACACAGCAGCCCAAGTAAAATGAAGGAGGTGCCATAAAAGTGAAAGCTATTTGTCATCAGTAACCCAGACCAGGAGCTTTTTAAGGAGCTCATACTTCATAATGCCTATGACACAGGAGAGAGATGAATTCTTTTCACAAGTTTGTCAAAGAATTAAGTCTATGACTCAATTCTAATCCACCCAATACAACATTTCAACAATGCAGATTTTAAAACACAGATGTTTACAGCTCTTTTTTGGTTTAACATTTCAAAAAGAAACATCAAAGTAAATCTTCATGATATTGGATTTGACAATGGATTCTTAGCTATGTACAAAACCACAAGCAACAACAAAAAAATGATATATTGGACTTCATCAAAATTAAAAACTCTTGTGCATCAAAGGACAACACAAAGAAAGTAAGAAGACAACCTACAGAATGCGAGAAAATATTTTCAAATCATATATTTGATAAGAGTGTAACATCCAAAACATATAAAGAACTCCTGTTAATCAACAATAAAAAGATAAACAACCCAATTAACAATAGACAAAGGACTTGAAAAACATTTCTCCAAAGATGATATAGAAATAGCCAATAAACACATAAAAAGATGATTAACATCATTAGTAATCAGCGAAATAAAAATCAAAACCACAATGACATACTACTTCACAACTACTAGGAGGCCTATAAATTAAACTGAAATGAAAATGAAATGTTTTCATTTTCATTCAAAAATGAAAACAAAACAAAAAATAATAGGTATTAGAAATGTGGAGAAACTGGAACCCTTGTACATTAATGTAAAATGGTGTAACCACTATAGAAAACAGTTTGGCAGTCCCTCAAAAAACTAAACATAGAATTACCATGTGACCCAGCAATTCCACTCCTAGGTATATACCAAAAAGAATTGCAATCAGGGTCTCAAACAGGTATTTGCAACATTATTTACAATAACGAAAAAGTGGAAGCAACTTAAATGTCCACCAATAGATGAATGGATAAACAAAATGTGGTATATACAATGAATATTATTCAGTCAGAAAAGGAATGAAGTTCTGATAACTTGAAGACATTATGGTAAATGAAATAAGCCAGACACAAGGCCAGACACAGGATTTAAATATCGTACAATTCCACTTATATGAGGTACCTAGAATAGTCAAATTCGTAGCATCACAAAATAGATTAGAGGTTACCAGGGTTTGGGGAGAGGTGGCATGAGGAGTTATTGCTTAATGATGACAGTTTCTGTTTGGGGTGATGAAAAAGTTTTGACAATAAACATAGATAATGTTTGCACAACACTGATATACTTAATAGCAATGAATTGTACACTTAAAAATTATTAAAATGGCAAATTTTACGTTTTTACAGAACAGAGAACCCAGATATAAAACCATCCTCATATAGCCAACTAATATTCAACAAAGCAGACAAAAACATACGCTGGGCAAAAGAATCCTTATTCAATAAATGGTGCTGGGAAAACTGGATAGCCACATGTAGAAAACTGAAACAAGGCCCCCACCTTTCACCTCTCACAAAAATCAACTCACACTGGGTAACAGATTTGAACCTTAGGTGTGAAACTATTAGAATTCTAGAGGAAAATGTTGGAAATACTCTTTTAGACATTGGCCTAAGCAAAGAATTTATGAAGAAGACCCCAAAGGCAATCACAACAGCAACAAAAATAAACAAATGAGACCTGATCAAATGTAAAAGCTTCTGCACAGCCAAAGAAACTATCAAGAGAGCAAACAGACAACCCACAGAATGGAAGAAAATTTTTGCAAGCTACACATCTGATAAAGGGCTGATAACTAGAATCTATTTAGAACTCAGGAAAATCAGCAAGAAAAAAATCAAACAACCCTATCAAAAATGGGCAAAGGACATGAACAGAAACTTCTTAAAAGAAGACAAAATAATGGCCAACAAACATATGAAAAAATGCCCAACATCTCTAATCATCAGGGAAATGCAAATCAAAACCACAATGAGATATCACTTAATTCCAGTGAGAATGGCCTTCATCAAAAAGTCCCCAAACAACAAATGGTGGCGTGGATGCGGGAGAGAGAGGAACACTCCTACACTGCTGGTGGGACTGCAAACTAGTTCAACCTCTGTGGAAAGCAATATGGAGATACCTCAAAGCGATACCAGCGAATCTACCATTGGATCCAGCAATTCCACTACTGGGCATCTACCCAAAAGATCAAAAGTCACTTTGTGAAAAAGAAACCTGCACTCGAATGTTTATAGCAGCACAATTCACAATCACAAAGCTGTGGAAACAACCCAAGTGCCCATCAATTCATGAGTGGATTAATAAAATGTGGTATATGTATACCATGGAATACTACTCAGCTTTAAGAAACAATGGTGATATAGCACCTTTTGTATATTCCTGGATACAGCTGGAACCCATTCTACTAAGTGAAGTAACTCAAGAATGGAAAAACCAGCACCACATGTACTCACCAGCAAATTGGTACTAACGGATCAACACCTAAGTGGACATATAGGAGTAACATCTATCGGGTGTCGGGAGGGTGGGAGGGGGGAGGAGAGGAGGGGTGTATGCAACCACAACGAGTAAGATGTGCAACATTTGGGGGATAGACACGCTTGAAGCTCTTAAGGGGGGAGGGGGGCATGGGCAATATATGTAACCTTAACACATGTACCCCCATAATAAGCTAAAAGAAAAAAAAATTTATGTTTTTATATATAACCACAATAAAAATAAGTAAATAAATAAATGAAAGTAAACTTAAAAGTCTCAGGAAAAAAACAACAAATAAAGAAACATTTCAACTAAAATAATAAAGAAAAATGACCCTGCATCAGTACCTTTCCACACACTGCCTTCGGGATAGGTGAGGCTGACATCTTCGGTTATGAGCTTCTCGTGCAGCAAGTCTAGCTTCTGACAACTGAAAGATTACAAAGCCCATTTAATAAACTATGAAACTTGCTGTCATCCTAGAAAAACTAGTATCACATTCTGACATCAAGAAGCCAGAAATTCAATCAATTCAACAAACATTCATTTCCAGGGAAAACAAAACAAAACACAGAAAACTGGGAGAATTCTAGAGCAGTTTGAAACAACATCCAACATATTAAAACCTTTTGCACTCGCTTGCTTTTTTCTCGATTCCGTTATTCTACTCGGGATTTACTCTGGGGTATTATTTAAATACCCCAGATTTTACAAAGTGCGGCAATAGAATAAAAAACTAGAGTTTCTTTTCATACAAACTTATTTATTTGGATTTTTTTTTTATATTTCAAATTATTGATCCCATTCAAAGAGTAATTTTAATCTCTATAATTTTTGCTAACCCTGTCAAGTCATACTCGACATCCGGGTGCAAAGGGTTAAAAGCACTTAGAGATTAACTTACATATGGTGATCTTAACAGATCTGCTGAAGAGACCAGTTTTACAACAAACCTAACAAAGCTGAAAATTCTCTTGTCAAAGCTTTCAGAAACTTAACTTGACCTGAGTCCAAGAGGATACCAACTTCAGGGCTACATCTCTTAAGTGCCTTCATCAGTCACCAATAGCTGTATAAAAAATGTTCAATGCAAATGTTCAAAAAAAGTGGGGTTTTTTTGACATTTCTTAGAATGATTATGACCTAGACTCTTTAGTGAAAAAACTATATTTGCAAATAAGAGTGCCATGGACTGAATGTTTGTATCCCCCAAAATTCATATGTTGAAGCCTTAACTCTAATGTGATGGTATTTAGAGGAGGAGACTTTGGGAGGTAATTAGATCCAGAGGGTAGAGCCCTCATGAGTAAGATCAGTGTCCTTATAAGAAAGACTGGGAAGAAAATGAAAAGACAGCCCTCTGAAACCAGGAAAACAGCCTTCATTAGACACTGGATTTGCCAGCACTTTGATCTTGGACATCCCAGCCTTCAGAACTGTGAGAAATAAATGTTTGTCACTTAAGCCACCCAGTCTATGGTACTGTTGTTACAGCAGCCAGTGCTCATTAATACAAGGATGATCAGCCACCCTATACTAACACCTCAGAGCATCTGAAGGAAAACTAAGTCTTTGAGACAGTAGTTTAAGACATCAGTAATCAGAGCAAGTTCAAAGTAAGGAAGAACTCCAGTCTTCTGAATCAAAAAACATGAATCTCTCTAAAAATGAGCAGAGGCGAATTCACGGCTCTGACGGCCACACGTGCCCCGCGATGCCCACTGCCCCAACTCAGGCCGCGCCTCCAGGTTGGCCGCGCTCTGAATGGAGAGCAAGCCCCCGGGTGGGCGGGGACTCCGTTTCGGGCGTGTCCCCTCCCGCGAGCATTGCCGCGCCTACAGCCCGTACCTCCCTACAACCGGTGAAGGGCACAGCGGGGCGGAGAACAGCGCAGCGGTCCGGCAAACTAGTGGGCGAGAGCGTTCCCCATCTTGGGACCTCAGCCGCGGCGCTCTTCCTCCAGCCTCCTTTGGGTTGGTGACTGAGGCCTTCGGAGAAAGGCCGGCGGGAAACATCTCACTCCACCAGCAACCCGGGCGACTCGCGCCCTCCTCTGCCTCCACGCTTCAAGCCGGTCCCTGGGGACGCCATCTTCCCGCCGCCTTCCCGAAGCCTCAGTCCCAACCAAGGAGCTGAGGAAGAGCGCCGCCGCGATCCACATGGACCCCACAGCGCCGCGCGGCCTAGGAGGAGCTGGGGGGCTGCCGCGGAGGAGACCACGCCCCGAAACGGAGTCCCCGCCCACCCGGGGCTGCTCCTAAGCGGACCCTAGCGGCGGGGCTCGCGGGGCACGTGTTGGACCTGAGCCGTGAATTCGCCTCTTCCCTCAGCTCCTGTG